ACAGACACCTCTATCCTGCAGCACCCAGCATCATGTGACACACAGAGCAGCACACCGGCACCATGCTGGCCCCTCGCCAACCTGCCCTGCCACCCCCTTATCTACTCTGAGGGCTCAAGGCGGCCAGGCGGCAGTGGCTCTCAGTAATTTTCCACAACTTGAGAGAAACTGCATCTCTCTTGGGTTTGGGGGAGGGGAGGGAGAGGCATTGTTCCTAAGGTGTCCTTTCTGGTGGCCTTGTCTTTATAAGGCAGCTTGGCTGAGTTTTTGGCTGAGGCAGAGACTTTCAGCCTGTGCTTCGGCTGGGGCTGAATTGACTAGTTCAGCTCCATCACCTTGGGACACCCCACCGAGGGCCCCACTGCACTTTGGGTCTGGCCTCTGACAGCTCCTAGCCCACAGGGTCCCTTTTATTACCTTTTATTAAAGCTCATGCTGGGGCCTGGGAGCTCTTTTTTTTTTTTTTTTTTTGAGCAAGATTAGCCCTGAGCTAACGTCTCCCACCAATCTTCCTCTTTTTTGCTCAGGAAGAGTGGCCCTGAGCTAACATCCATGCCCAACTTCCTCTACTTTATATGTGGGATGCCTACCATAGCATGGCTTGTCAAGCTGTGCCATGTCCGCACCCGGGATCCAAACCAGCGAACCTCAGGCCCCGAAGCCGAACGTGCGATCTTAACTGCTAGCGCCACTGGGCTGGACCTGCTGGGAGCTCCTTGAGGGCGAGGTGTGTGTCTCCTACAGGTCTGGGCATCCAGCACTCAGCACAGGAGCAGGTGCCCATGAACTGAATTGCATTGCAGTTTAATCCTGCGCCCAGGGGTGCGGAGCGGTATGCAGTGGTGGTTACATGTGTGGGTTGAGGCATGGGACTGCCTGGGAAATCTTGCAGGGCCTCAGCTTCCTCTTCTGTCAAATGGGAATAATAACGATGACAACTTCCTCATAGGGTTGTTTGGAGGACTAAATGAAGAACCACGTGCAAAGTGCTCAGGCAAATGCGGGGCTCCACGTAGGAAGCCCATCTCTGCTGCCTAGTTCACTCCTGAGTCACCGGCCCCCCCGCACCGTTCCTAGGCTCTTGTCCCCCAAAAGTTCATAGGCTGCTGAAATTCACAAGCCCAGCTTCCCTCACAAATGGGAGGTTTCCGTGTGGGCTGGGGGTGGGGTGGGGTATGTTAACAGCCAACTTTAAAACCAGTCAGAAAAAAACGTGCTAAAGGGAGAGGAAATTATTAACTCAGGCCAGCTTGGGCAGGGCAGGAGGGCGGATCCAGGAAGGATGGTAAGGCTCGCAAGAGGAAGTGGCTTTTGATCGGGTGGGTCTCGTTCGGGGAAGGGAAAGACTTCCAGTGGCGGAGAAAGAGAGGAGGGGGCCACCAGGATAATATCACCAGAGGACACTAAACCAGCTGCGTGCCCCCGTGCCAAGCCCACCGACGCATGATCTCGTTTGGGCCTCTCAACCACGCCAGGAGGCAGGCACGACCAGCGTCCCCGGGGAACCTGGGGTACAGATGGGCGAGGTCACAGGGCCTTACAGGATCGGAACCCAAGCTGGTCCCGTTCTCAGCCTCCGGGGAGGAGTATTTTTTGGGAAGGGAAGAGCACGAGGGGGACACTCACTCATTCACAAGCATTTGGGCACCAAGCGTGTACCCAGCCCGGTTCTAGCTTCTGGGTACCAGGGGTGGACACGGAGGACAAGGTCCCGGCTCTCATGGCGGGAAGCGGGGGGGGATGGACAATAACAAGAGTAGGTAATTTCAGAGCGTGATAAGAACTCTGAAAGAAAAGAGCGCGGGTCGGGGGAGGGGACTGGCGATTCCAGGAGTGCAGGATCTTCGCAGGCAGGGCGTGTTTGGGGACCCTAGACTCCCCGGCATTGGAGGATTGCAGCCGTGCACGAGCTTGACGCAGGACGCGGCTGCAGGGGGCGCTTTCGATCCCTCTCAAGGCTCGCCACGTCCCTGCAGCGTGCGCGCACCCCCATTTCGCAGATGAGGACACTGAGGACGCGCGGCGAGCGATTCGGATCGCTCCCAGGCTGACAAGCACGAGCGCTCTCCGCGCGCTAGACTGCGCCTGCGCTGGAAATCCGGGGGGCGGGGCCGGCGGCGCGGGGCGGGGCCGGGCCTCCGGCCTCGGCGGGGCCGTCGGTTTCGGTGCGGAGCTTTCGAGCGGCGAGGGCGGGCGCGCGGGGAAGGGCTTTGCGGCGGTGCCGCGGGCGGCATCGCGGGAGTGGCCGGGAGGGCCCCGCAGCGTCCGCTCCGTCTCCCGCCCGGGCTGCGTGCGCAGCCCCCTGCCCGCCGACCGCCGCTGCCGCGGCCGCCGGCTCCGGAGGGCCGCGCAGCCCGCGAGAGACCCCGAAACGGGGGGCCGCTGAGCGGGAGGGGGCGGCGCGAGCTCCAGCAGCGTCCCGGCGGCGCCGCAGGTGAGGCCCGGGGCGAGAGCCCCTCAGGACCCCCGACTCCCTGGCCGGCTCGAGGACCCCGACAGGCCGCGGTTCCCGGACGGCGCCCGGCCCCCGGCCCCCTCGGCCCTTTCCGCTTTCCGGACTGTCGAGCCCGAGACCTCCGGGACGTTCCCTGGGCTCGGGGGCCCTCGGGGTCCGCGGTTCCTGAGAGCCCCCGGCCGCCCCCGGCCTGAGGCGCCCCTTGGCGGCGGCCCCGGGCTGGGCTGCCCCGTCCTGGGTCCGGGCCCGGGGGGCGCTCCTGGCGGTAACGAGAGAAGCGGGGGCTCCAGGGGCCCCCGGCGGCCCCGTGTCACCGGGCGGGGGCGTGGTCGCGCGCCGTGGTGCGGGCCGCGGCTGGGCCGGGGTTTGACTCAACGCCGGTCGGGGACGCTCGCCCGGCGCCGCGGAGGAGCCCGGAGAACGCGCCTGGTGCGGGGCGGGGGCCCTGGGCGAGTCGGGGTGCTTGGAGGTCGTCTCCTCCTCCTGGTTTCTCCTTTCTGGGACTAACATCTTTCTTTTGAAGGCCCGATCGTTTCCAGGAGGTGGCCCCAGAGCCGGAGCCGACGCAGTGCTGCGCCCCGCTGCAGGGGGCGGTGAAGCCGGCGGGTAGTTCTTACGTGGGGTAATAATAGGGCGGTAGCGTCGAACTCGGCCAGCGTGGGGTCGGGAGTGGGGTCGGCTTCTCAGGACGGCGCTGTGCGGGGCTGCTTGCAGGGGAGGAGGAGCGACCGGGGTCATTCCATGCGAGGGGCAGGGTGTGAAGAGGCGGGGAGGCGGGCACCGGGCACGGCAGGCCGTGGAAACCGGGAAGTGCGCTGCAGCGGGGCTCCCTCCGGGGCCGGTGGGGAGATGTTGCCTCCCTGGGTGGGGAAGGTTCTCGGTGGGGACCCTGCTTTGTTCCCTGAGGCGCATGCCCTGCGCCCTGTCTTGAATTACTGCTTCTGCCACCTCCCTGAGGAGGTGACGGTCCAGCTAGAGCTGAGGGAGGATAGGACTGGGTCCTGGAGAGGAGGGAGGGAAGTGTTCCGGGGAGGAGATCAGATGGGAGAGTTCAACAGTGCAGGGGTTGAGGTGGGGCCTGGCGAGAAAGGGGGCGTTCCGGGGGCGCCAGGACCAACGCACAAGGAGCTTATGCAGCCCAGCAGAGGATTTGGCACTTGAAGGGCGTGGGGGCCGCTGAGGGGTCTAAGGAGGGCAGTGAAGATGGGTTTCGTGTTTTTGAGCAGTCACTGGCTGTCGTGTGGTGGAATTGTTTGGAGGAAGCAGGACCACGTGGGAGGTGGAGGTGACCTGGACCAGGGTGGTGGCAGCGGGGTCGTGGCTTCCTCAAGCATCGCTAAGCTTCTTGAAGTCTAGACCCAAAAGACTGGTGTTCCAGCTCTTTCCTGTCTGAGCCTAGGGTTTTCTGCCTGGGGACTGACTTGGGGAACTTTTTTCTCCATTCAGGCCAGGTTTTGTCATTTTGCCGGTAGGGCAGATGGTCACCGAGGGCTTCAGCCGCGTCACTGTCTGTGTGTCCTGGTGAGCCCAGCACCCACGCGGGAGATGCACACTTAGCCCGGAGGGGCGGGGTGAAGAGAGGCTGATTCTCAGAAATGGAACAGATCATGGAGGGTTTGGAAGGTGGGCTTGGGGGTCCTGAAAGAGATGGAAAGCCCTTGGAAGAGAGGCAAGTTCAGATGTGTCGTGTCAGGAATGTCACTCTGGAGGCAGCCTGGCACTGGAAGGGCTGAAACTGGGGGCAGGGTGGCTCTCAGCAGTTGAGACAAGTTGTGAGGACTCTAAGGGAGTGGCGAAGGGAGTGGGGGAGAGACGGAGGAAGAGAAACCCCAGGACTGTTTGTGGCAGCCTGGACTGGGGTGGGGAGACTGGGAGGACGCTGTGCCGCAGAACTTGCTGCCACGACGGGACCGTTCTGTGTCTGTGCTCTCCAGTACGCGCCAGGCGCTTAAAATGTGACTAGTGCCACAGGAACTGAATTTTAAAATGTATTTAATTTTAATTAATTAAGTCCAAGAAGGATAGCCCATCACACACAGAGGGTGTGGTGGGAAACACACTGTTCTAGGCTTTGTTCTTTTAAATGTTTATAATGTTTCCAATAACTGTATGAGGTGTAAGATTCCTTTTTCACAGATAAAGGAAATTGGAGGCTCAGAGAGAGTAAACAACCTCCCCTGTGCTAAGTTGTTTGACTTCTAAGGCTGGGCTCTTTGTGCTGCATCCTGCTTCCTTCCCCCGAGGAATGAAATCCCACGTGCTCTCCTTATCTGTTCCCAGTGGTCTGAGGAGCCGGTGTAGACCCAACAGAAAGCTGTTGTGAGCTGCTTGTTTTGCCCGAGGCTTCTTCCTGCTGCCTCATATCTTGCTAGTGGCAGCTATTTCTCTTAGCATTTCCGGAAAATGAATGGAGTAAGAAGCTGGTGAAACTGCAGATCAGCCACACTGTGTGGCTTATTTGTAAAGAACGGTGGTAAAAAGGTAGGAGTGAGTGCCTTACAGGAAGTTTTGGCGTCGCGGTGGACTGGTTAGTGCCAGGATGGTGGCGAGATTATGGGCCGGGAGCCAGGAGTGAGTGTATAGCTTGCGCCTGACTCCTTGCAGGCCTTGACCAAGTCACTACTCCTCGGAGGCTCATTTTTCACTTCTATAAAATTAGGGTATTTGGCATCACATAACCTATAAGATTCCTCCAGCTCTAGAAGTCTATAATTTTGAGTTTCATTGGAGGTTTACTTTCTAGAACATCTCTGTTGCTCTTGGGATGGAGCAGTGCTGGTGGTTCAGCATGCCTTTGGCCTCTGTTTTGCCATTATTGGCTTATCATTAAGTAACACGTCTCTTTAAGTTATGTGACGTGTCACGTCTGTTGGACACACTGTTAAACAGCAAACACTTTAGCAGTTGGCAGGGTTTCTAGTAAAATGTCGGGGATGTTTGTTTGCCATCCTGAGCCGCACTGATGTTAGGAGAAAACATGCAAGACTATATTTAGCGTGGTGGTTGGCCTCTTAAAAAGGCTTAATGTGCGTGCCTGGGCCAGGTGAGAGGTGGTAATAATAGCACTTGATAGGGTTCTGAGAGTGTAAATGAGACAGTGGATGTGAGGTGCTTAGTGCTTTCCCTGGGTTCTAGTAAGGGAGCAGAAAGTGTCAGTAATTAGCGTTGCTTTTTGAACTAAACTGTTGACCTTTAAATTTTTTTATCAGTGATGGGGTTTGTTGTTTTGGTTTGAACGGATATGCCCAAGCAGCTCTGTTTGGAGGCACTGGTTTCAAGAAGCAAATGAACACATTTTGATCATTACAAAATAAGCATTTTTGCTGTCATAATTCATTTTGACTGACTAAAAAGTGATTGGTTAGGTAGCATGTGTTCAAATGAAGGTTTTGTATTTTCTGTAAATTGAAGAAAACAATTCGTCCTGAAGCTCCCTTACTAGTAATGGCCGGGATTAAGTTTCACCGGGCCTGTGGTTAAGTTAATATGTACTTGTGGTGACTGCCTTAGAAAAGTTGTGTGGACTTGAAAGCCCGCTGCTGCTGAGGGAGAAAGGTGGCTGTGAGGTAGTTTATAGTAAAAGGTAAACATTTTACAGTTGACTGAGTGCCTTCCAGATCTTCAACTGAAGGTCTTCACCACAATCCAGGCAGTGGTGTGGGTGATGGACTTCTCATTTGACAGGTTTGGAAACTGAGGCAGAGGCCTCACGGCTGGGAATGTGCTGGTGTTTCCTTGTCTCCAGACCCTGGCTCCCCCCGACCCCCGGCCCTTTCTGGTGGAGCTGTCCGGGTCTGGGGCTGAGCGTCTCCTTTGCAGTTCAAAGGCTTTTGTGTCCATTTGCGCCTTGTTTCCAGCTCAAGTGAACCTGCTCCTGCTAATGGAAGTGGAAATGCATCGCTCATCCAGATCCCAGGTGACTTCATTTGTGGTTAGAAGTATGACTATCAGATGCACTTGAAAACTTACCCTTGTTTCCCAATGATTTCTGCTTCCACGGCCCCCTTCCCAAGTCTACATGGGGAACCAGATTGCTGGGAAAAAGACAGTTTGTGGGAATCAAATCAGAGTAAAGGGAGAGGACAGTGTTAACGACCAGTGTGTGTTAGTGTCATTGAGCTGTGATAGCCGAGGGCAGGCCTGTAAAATGCTGACAGGTGGAGGCGGACTGGGACCAGCTTGCTTTATGGCTCCCAGGCTACCAGACCTGCCCTGTGTAGAGTACAGTTGGTAGGTTGTGGCCGCCCTTAAGGACATTCCAGTGCTTAGGAACCACTCTGGTTACGTGGATTACCCTTAGTGGCACATTCATAAATGGTGTCTCGTGCAGGCTACTTTGTAACAGTAGCAGAGGGACACTACTGAGTAATGGCCTGTTCTGTTGCCAGGCCTTCACATGAAGCAGGTCATTTGCAGTCACAGTGACCTGCATCTGACTGTTTCCACAAATTTGGGGGCATCTTGTTCCATCACTCTCTGGATCGACTACAGGTGAGTTACAGCCAGCTCGTGAAGACTGATGAATGTTGGCGACGTCCTCTCCCCTGCTGGGGAAGAGGAATACATTTTAGTGTGTCGACCACACGCTCCCTTCCCTGTAATCAGGTGCTATGCAGCTTGGGAGCTCCCGTCAGCGCTCGTTCATACCACTTGAACCCAAATGACTGTTTGTAGAAAGAAATTTAGAAGTTTTTTCTGGGGCCGGCTCCGTGGCTGAGTGGTTAAGTTTGCGCGCTCTGCTGCAGCGGCCCAGGGTTTGGATCCTGGGCACAGACATGGCACCGCTCGTCAGGCCACGTTGAGGCGGCGTCCCATATGCCACAACTAGAAGGACCTGCAACTAAGGTATACAACTATGTACTGGGGGGGTGTGGGAAATAAAGCAGAAAAAAACAAAAAAGATTGGCAGCAGTTGTTAGCACAGGTGCCAATCCTTAAAAAAAAAAAAAAAAGTTTTTCTAAGGAAATTTTTGAGGATCCCACAGACTTGAAACTTATAATTCATGCTTTATGCTTGTTAAGTGAAGGTGTAGTTTATAAGAAAAAGTGATTAGTTTTAATTTTTTTATTATGCTACTTTTAATAATTACTATTCTTGACAAACATCTTCTTCCTCCCCCTCAAAACTTTATGGACTCTCACTCATTGATCTGTTCTTTTTTCCTCCTGATTCTTTTGGCTTCTTTCCCATCCCTCTGCTCTTCATGGCAATGTAGAACGGTGGTGGTAATGAGTGTTTCAGACAACGGCTCGTTCTGTAGCGTGTCGTGAGTGCCTGGGTCTGGCTCAGCAGCTCTCCGCTGGTCTCGCTGGGGTTGCCCGTGCAGTGGCCATCTGGATGCTTGATTGGTGCTGAGTAGTTCCAGGTAGCCTGGCTACTTGGCCCAAGGGGTCACATGTCCAGTCCCAGAGTCAGTGAGTGAGGGGACTGTACAAGGGCCTGGACACCAGGAGGCATGGGGCATGGTTAACAGTCTGGCTTCAGGTCAGGGAGCCGGCGGGTGGGGCTTTGTTTGCCAGCTGTAATAACACGTTCAGTGTTTGTAGTTGATTCTCTTTTGTGTTGGCCTCAGTTTCATGAACATTTGTGTAGTGCCAGATGCTGGGGACTCAGAAATGAGGCCGCCTCTGGCCGCTCTCAAGCTAGTTCATGAAATACTCTTGATCTCAAATTTTAAGCAGAAAACATCATGTTAAGACTTTTATTCATGGCTTTAGATAAAAAGAACAGGAACTGCTTATTATACAAATACGTGCTGGGGCCTGATTTTGCTTTCAGAAAATGCTGATAGGTCCTTGAAAAAAAATGGGTTGCTATGATGACTTGGCTTTAGGGCTGCAAACTGTGGTGACGACATGATCACCAAGGAAACCAACAGATGCAGCTCCTCAGAGGCCTCTGAAGGCTTTTGTTCCTCTTGTCTGGAATGCGACTGGCTTAGGAGAGTGAGCTGGGGATGGGAGCAGAGCGCCGGAGGCTTGTCCTCCTGGCACTTCTAGGCTTGGGCACTCAGCGCCTGGGAAATCTCCTCCTTGGCCCTTGGTTTAAAAACAAGGAGGTATTTGGGATACTTTCTAGGTTATTGTGAGATTTGGCTCTGATGATTACGCTGCTGGAAGAACAGGAAATGAGGTAATGTCTTTAAACATGTAGTGCTGCGATGAATTGTGACTGTCTAAACATGGGCAGCTATGCAGTTCAGCATTCCAGAGTTACTGTGTTGAGTTTTAATACAATGAGTACTTCCTGTGTTGGCTATTTGACCCTTAAAGGTCCCTGTCAGTAAAGTCTGGGGCACACCTGCCTGTTGAGTTGGGCCTGTGTGATTCTCTTTGAAGTGCTGTGAGGAGCCAGCTCCAGACCTTCCTCAGACTCAGGTGGAGAAGGAGGTTTGAGCGCTTAGACCAGCAGCAAACCCCACAGGAATGCGGGCTCTCACCTGCTGTGGAAGTGTTCGGTCCTGACAGTGGTGACTTGTTCTTGTGGAAAACTTTGAAATCACTCAATTTTGGGGTTAAGTCTAGCCCACAAAAGTTTAATTTGTTCATCATACTTTTTTGCAGATGTGTAAATACAATATTTAAGTTTTCTGTTTGTAACTATAATTGTTCATATATGCAGACTGAAAGCAGTTGAACAATAGTTGAAAGAACTAGAGATGGATTGTTAAAATTCTTTACCATGGTGACTGTTAAAAAATATTCTAGGGGCTGGCCCCGTGGCTGAGTGGTTAAGTTCGCGCGCTCCGCTGCAAGCGGCCCAGTGTTTCGTTGGTTCGAATCCTGGGCGCGGACATGGCACTGCTCATCAAACCACGCTGAGGCAGCGTCCCACATGCGACAACGAGAAGGACCCACAACGAAGAATATACAACTATGCACCGGGGGTCTTTGGGGAGAGAAAAGGAAAAAATAAAATCTTTAAAAAAAAAAAAAAAATTCTAAAATGTCATGTAGAGTAGGATGAGATAAAAGGCCCCTTCCCGTAGGTGGGAAGGAGTAACTGTTTTAAACTGATGTGGATTATTGTGGGGGGCAGTTGGGTTAGTGGACTGATAAGAGTCTCATTCACTTTTCACATAGGATTGGATAGGAATGACTCTTCAAGTGTTCTGTCCTGCAGTGGGAGGTTAGGAAAGGAAGTGGGGGCGGGGGCTCATTGACAGCTCAGAGCCTGAGTGGTTTGACTTAGAAATTTGAACTTCCAGAGCGCTTTTCATATGAGAGATTCCTGAGCTTTCAAATCTTGGTCAGTTAGCAAGAATTCTTATTTTGTAGTTGTTAAAACAGGATTGGTGAATAGTTAAGCCAGTCATTGAAATCTCAGGCCTGGGGTTCAGGGTTACTTATGCTAGGATTATATAACATAGTAGAAAACCCCAATATTTGTTACTTTCCTTAGAAAATATCTAGTAGGTTAAAAAAAAAACAGTTTGACCTTTGGTGCCTCTGATGGTAACTCCACAGTGTGAAGGAGAATGGGGTTGGGGCAGAGCACCAGCCCCGACTCTGCCAGCCTTTGCCCTTGGGCAGGTGACGGGCGTCTGTGAGCAGCCTTTTCTTTGCCTACGGACTGTGGTTTCTTAACAGTGGCGGAGGGTCCCACACACCTTTGGGAGTTTGACGGAAGCTCGGAACTTTCTCCCCCGGGCGGGGGAGGAGGCGGGGAATGTCCAAAGGCACAAAGTTGTTGACATTTTCAGGGATGTTCTCAGGATCCCATTTAGTTCTAAAATCTAGTGATGCTTATAGACTGACTAAGCCTTGTTTCCTTACCCTGGAAAAGTATTTTTGGTGACCTGATTCTAATTGAGGAAAAAAAGATTACACGTGTAAAGAGGTGGTTTTCAATCAGTGCTGGTTAGGATACAGCAAGGCAGGCACTTCCCTCTTCTGCTGACCACTTTTCTGGAAAGCAGTTTGATGGTACGTGCTGAGATGTTTTACAATGTTCATATTCTTTAACTCAGCCATTCTGCTTCTCAGAAATCTCTCCTAAATAAGTAATTTCAAAATAAGTAAAAAGCTTTGGGCACAAAGACGCTTGTCAGAGTATTGTGGTAACATCCTGCAGTAGGCATGCAGATAAAGAAATGATGGTATGTCAATAGGAGAGACTTTCGCGGATATAACTATTACACTTGTATTTATGAATAGTTTTTAATAACATAAGGGAAATGCTTTTCTTATAAGTCATGAAGAAAGTAGGATATGAACCATGGTCTCAAATGATGTGAGAATTTTAAAGTAAAAAGTCCAGGGGCTGGCCACGTGGCCGAGCGGTTAAGTTCGTGCGCTCTGCTTCGGTGGCCCAGGGTTGCGCTGGTTTAGATCCTGGGCACGGACATGGCACCGCTTGTCAGGCCACAGTGAGGTGGTGTGCCACATGCCACAACTAGAATATACAACTAAGTATTGGGGGGATTTGGGGAGAAAAAGCAGGGGAAAAAAAAAAGATTGGCAACAGTTGTTAGCTCAGGTGCTAATCTTTAATGAAAAAAAATGTCCAGGGGAAAATACACAAATGCTAACAAGTTATTGCTAGTAGGTAGTAGGATTATGGGCTTTTGAAGCTTTATTTTTCTGTTTATTTCCTTGTTTACAGTAAATATCCTAGAATTAGAGAGAAAATGTGATTCTGGAAAAATTGTAGAATGTAGAGATAGTTTGGCAGTAAAGACCTAGCTAGTTTAAGATTCCTGTTTTGTGTAAGCCAGGAATTGTCCTTTTAGTCTGCTTATTTCTTTGGCCTGGATTTAGTACAGCTGAGGGGAGGCCTGGCCCCTTGGAACACTTGCTGAGAAGTGTCATGTCCCTCTCAAGTGTGATACTCAGCCCTCGAGAGCACTGCCGCTCCCCTGAGAAACCCTGTCTGGCCCTGAGAAACTGTGTTAGGCTGTTTGCCATTTGCGTCCTTCTGTGATAAGTCATGGTGCTCGTGTCAGCTGGAAGCCCCTCTGGATAGAGGGATGGGGCCCAGCATGAAGCCCCCAGCGCTGAGCCCTCCCACCATCCGTACTCGATGTGTGTGCGTTCCTTCCCATTCTGGCCACTGTAGAGCTCCGGAGAATCCGAATCGGAGCCTTTGCCTGGCTCACACAGTATTAGGAACGGTGGCTTGGGAAACATTCTGGATGTACATTTTTTGTATATGATGTTTTTCAGGTATTCTAATTTAAAGAAAGATTCAGGACCTTTAATTTTGATTCCAGTCTTAACTCTCTTCCAGGGAACTAATATAACAGCTTTTATCTGGGAAGTAGAAGTCTCATCTGACTAATTTTTCTCTTTAGGATTCACAGATGGATTCAGTGGAAAAGACAACAACTAGAAGTGAACAGAAATCGAGGTAAATAAAGTCAGCCACCTTCCAGCGGGTTCCTAGTGTCCATCGCCAGTCTACTCGTGTGTTGTCTCGTACCTGCTAAGGCAAAGTGAAGTGAGAACATTGGGTCAGGAGGGATCTCCAGTTGTGTAGCCACCCTTTGCTTCAACATAAGAAATGTTCCAGAAGGCAGTTCTCTTTCTGCCTAGGGAGGTGGCTGTGGCCTGGTCTCCACAGCAAGCGGCTGGTGATCGGAGGCCACGGCTGAGCCTGGGGGTGCTGTGCTGCACAGGAGGGCTGCTCGCACCGTCAGCGGCGCATGGGCGGGCCTGCTCTAGCGGTGCACGATGGGGCGGTGCTTACCCTGGAAGGGGTTGGGGTTGGTAAGTGGCAGAAAACCAGCATTTTGTGAGGAATTTTCTTATCTGTCACTGCAAGCAGGGATCTTTTTGTCATCATAGTTCATATTTACAGGCTCTCTGCAGCTTCAGAGGAATCAAAATTGCTGAGCCTCCTGTTTACAAATATATATTACGCAAATGTGTGCTGAACACCACGGGGGACTCGAGATGAGTGAGACACAACTGTCCCCAAGTCTTTTATGGAGTGAGGACAGAGCATGTGAAATGTAGTACACAGGCTTTATCTCCCAGTTAGTATAAAGCGAGGGGAGTGTGTGTGTCCAGTGCCGGCCTTATCTGACTTAACGCTTCACAGATACTCCCACACTGCATTGCTTTTCTTCATGGTTGCGATACTTCCATGTTGACTTTCATTCTCTCGCCATTGTTTTTAAGTAGAAAGTTTTTGAAAAGCCTCATCCGGAAACAGCCCCAGGAACTGCTCTTGGTCATTGGGACCGGTGTCAGTGCTGCAGTGGCCCCGGGGATCCCTGCCCTCTGCTCGTGGAGAAGCTGCATCGAGGCTATCATCGAGGCCGCAGAGCAGCTGGAGGTGCTTCACCCAGGGGACGTCGCCGAGTTCCGCAGGAAAGTAATGAAGGACCGGGACCTGCTGGTTGTTGCCCATGATCTGATCCGGAAGATGTCACCTGTAAGTCTTTTTCAGACAAGTTCCGCAGGTCTCTCTGGGGGTAACTTACTTCTGGGCTGGACTGGTGAATCTGTGGATCTAATATTTAAATTTCTACAAGACTACGTTGCACTCATTTCTCAGCAGAGTTGGGCTGATGAGCCAGAAATCTTTCAGTCCATCAGAATATCATCTCTTTAAACAGAGGTGATGCCAGGTACCGTGTGGGGCTCCTCAACTAGCCCCTGTTAAATGGAGCCTGAATATGTGAGATTTTCTCAGGCGTGTCATCCTGCTGCACTGGGGATGAACCTTGTGATTTCATATTCACTTAGTGAAGGGGTCTCCTTTAGATGTGGTTTTGCTCTAAGCAGGCCAGCCGCATCTCGTTGGTTGACATGTGATTCCTAAAAACATTTTAAGGTGGGAGAAGTTAGAGCTTCTTTGTCTGCAGGTGGGAACGACGTAGTGGAGAGGAAAAGCGCAGTGATACAGGAGACGGTTGCTGAGCGATGCCCTCTCGTTGGTGGGGCTGGTGCAGGAGTGGGGTCGGCCTCAGACAGGTGCATGGCCAAGTCGTCATCGCACAGCTCAGCCACAGTGTGGCGCAAACACTGGGAAGCTAGATGATGTGGTAGAGGCTCATGGCAGATTTCTTCTCATTCCTTCGGTATTTACTGAAGAAGCACTGCCATCATATGAGGTCAGGGCAGGGAGGAGATGTTGGAGGGTTAACAAGGGAGCCTGGAAAAGTCTGCAGTGGTCATCAGGGAGACTAAGAGAGTTTAGGCTGCTGTAAAAAGAGACCTCAAACTGCATGGCTGAAATGTGATTACATTTCTATTTCTCACAGAAAAATCTGGGTAGGCAGCCCCAGGAGAGCACGGTGGCTTGACTGTGTTGGGGACCTAGGCTTCTGTTTTGTTCCTCTGCTGTCTTCCCCATGCAGCTTCCACTTGATGTTCACCATTAGCTGCCCCAACTCCTGCCGTCAGTGGTGTGCGTGTCTCGGCTCGTGGGAGGGGAGGCTAGTGCAGGGTGCGTGCCTTCTCCCTGCAGGGGCCTGCCATGGAGGTTGCGTGTGTCACTTCTGTCTTCACTCGTTGGCTTGAGTTTACACATGCTCTGCCTGGCTTTACCAGAGTCTGGGGAGTGCTTTTAGCTGGGTGACTGTACCGCATGTGAGCGTTCTATTAATAAGGGGCAACTAGCATCGTAGGACAGGGGCTGGGTGCTGCCTTTTTTTAAGTAAAGTTCTACTGGCACACTAGTGGCTGCTCCTGTTCGTTTACATGTTGTCTAGGCTGCGTCCGTGCTTCAGCAGCGGAGTTGAGTATTGGCGCCGGAGACCATGGGGCCCGTGAAGCCTAAAATAACTGCTCTCTAGCCCTTCCTAGACAAGTTGCTGAGCCCTTCCTGGACAGAAGCGGGGAAGAGCCCATGGGCCACGGAAGTGTTGTAGGCCTGCCAGCAGCACTGAGGGGCCCGTTCACATGAGGTCTGGCATTTGAAGAGAGCTCAGCTGGGCTGACACTTGTTTAGCCAAGGAGATGAGTTCTTGGAGCTTTATTCTACTCGTCTCTTTACTTTTGTGTATTTTTGAAAACTTCCGTAGAAAAAGAGTTAAAGTGAGGCCAGTCAGAATGGCTGTTTCCCCATCTCTGTTCAGCAGGGTGAGAACAGGTGTGGAGTAAGTAGAGAGTTGGCTTTATCAACCTGGGGTTTTGCCAGGGAGTTCCAGCAAAGCTGGGGAAGGGCAGGGGAGTGGAAGGTGTATGTAAGGGAGTAGTTGTGGTAAATTATGGCATCTAAGCTGCTTCATGGGGAGGTTAGGCCGGCAGGGGAGTGGGAGACGGTGGGTCAGTGGCAGCCAGGTGAGTGGTCTGCAGGTCTTGATGGGGTTGAAGTTGTCCTGGCAGCCCAAGGTGCTAGAGAGTTGGCCCGATGGGAGGGAGAGGTTGGACGGGGAGACTGGACCAGAGCTTCTGGAAAGGGTCCCTCTTGGTAATGATAAGGTTTGGGATGTGACTATAGGTGTGGATGGCCGAGATGGGACAATCACTGAGGGAGAGTGATAGAGGAATTTAGAGGCCGTGACACAGAAGGGATCATCTGAGTAACCCACTGTGAACGATGACAGAAGTACAGCTGGAGAGAACTTGACAATGAGCCAGGCGCCCCCTGACATCTTCACTGGGCCAAGGAGTGAGGGCTTCAGAGAATGGAGGGCCCGTTTTCAGTGGAGGAGGGAGTAGAATCTTCACAAAAGAGGATGAAGATGGGGAGGTGTGCTGATGAAAGACCCGCTGGGAACATCGGAAGGGTTTTGGGGATTGGGGAGGGAGAGGAGAGTGTCAGAAAAGGGAGTGTCCAGAGCCGCAGGATGAGTGACAATCTGGGAGTCTGTGACAGCTGACATAAAGAGGGACAGAGGGCCTGGGGGTGAACGGACACTCCGAGGCAGATGGTGGCGGTGAGGGAGAGGATGGGCAGAGGTATTACAGGCGAATGCGCAGTCCAGGCTCCATTGCCCATCCCGCCACCCCTCGTGCAGAGGCTGCGCAAGGGGTGCTGTTCCTGCGAGTGCATGAAACCTCTTGACCTCTGCGTCCTCCTGGCTGCCACCCGTTTCTTTGCCCCCCTTCACAGTGGAACTCTGCAAAAGAGTTGTTTGTACTTGCTGTCACCAGTTGCTTATCTCTCCTCTCGAATCCACCCCAGCCAGGGTCCACTGAAGCAGCCTTGTCAAGGCCACCAGTGAATGACCTTGGTTGCTACATCCAGGGCCAAATCTCCCTCCTCATCCTGTTGACTCTCAGCAGTGGGACATGCTGTCTTTCCCCTAGTTAAGATGCTGTTAAGACACACCATTTCCTAGAGCACCATGAAGAGAAACCCAGTACCTCTGTCATTCTCTCAGAGGGAAAGCCGAAGTCTGTTCCGTGGTCTTCAAGGCCCCACACGGTCTGGTTCTGGGTCACCTCTCTGACCTCCCTTGCCGACATATCCCCTCACTGCTCTCCTGCTACAAGGGCCCACTTGGACCCACTGAGGCTCTCGCGCTTGCTCTTCCCTCTGCTGAGAACACTCTGCAGAGGCCTCGCTTCCTCCCCTGCTGCCCTTCGCCGCCAGCAGCTCCTGTCCCTCTTTCTCTGCTTTACTTTCCCACTGCATTTATCACTCTTGACACATTTGCACATTATCTGTCTCCCTCCTGGAGAGTTTTAGTGAACTCTGCGAGGTCAGGTTTTCTTTCTTTTCTTTAAACTGCTCTCACCAGCACCCAGAATGCTGCCTGCTTCAGGGCTCAGCTGTCGTGGAGAGGCGACGTTCCGTAACTCCCTTTCCCTTCCCTAGCGCACAGGCGACACCAAGCCCAACTTCTTCCAGGACTGCCTGATGGAGATCTTCGACAGCCTGGAGCAGCACATCCAGAACCCGCTGGTGCTGCAGTCCATCCTCAGCCTGATGGAGCGGGGCACGATGGTCCTGACCACCAACTACGACAACCTGCTGGAGATCTTTGGGCAGCAGCAGAACAAGCCCATGGAGTCTCTGGATTTGAAGGACAAGACCAAGGTGTGGGCTCGGCCGGAGGGCCCGGAGGGCCGGGTGGCGGGCGGGAGGGGGAGGCCCCTCCTGTGAGCGGCTGCGCAGCCGCGGGTGTGGCATGAGCTTTCGTCTTCACAGCAGAAAATTAGTACCGATGACAGGTGCTGACTGTCAGCTCTCAGGGGCTGCTCTCCCCATGGAACAGCATAGACGCCGTGCCAGCTTCTTCCTCAGGGCGCGGGGATGGAGGGTGCCGCCCTTCCCATCTCAGCACTCCTGACTGTCGCTCTGGTTGTCTGTCTGTGTCTGTCCTGCAGGTCTGCAAGGGCTTCCCGTGCGCATTGCTTTATTGTAGGAAATGTGGGTGGTAAAGACAGTAGTTAAGCAAAGTAAAATCACCCACAGTCCTATTGCTGTGAATTTTGGTTGTTACCTTTTTTTTTTTAACAAATTGTGATTGAAATATATGTAAAGTTTTTATCCTGTTTTTTTCCCTTTAATATACTGTGAGCATTCTCCTGTCATTAAGCTGTTTTTAAAGCATGATTTTAAGTGGCAGTCGAATTTTAAGACTAAGTTATAATTGCTACCCTCCCTCTATCATTATTCACATATTTTCACAGTTATAAATATTTACAGTGAAAATCCTTACACTTTGTGTCCCTCTGTTTGTTTCTTTAGGATAAATTCCTAGAAGAGTCTCAGGGTCAAAGAGTATGACTATTTTAAAGACAGATGATATAAATTACCAGATTGTTTTCCAGAAAGATGAGCAGTTTACATGCCCAGTAGCTGTGTAAGGGCACGTCCGTGTCCCGTGTCTTGCCAGTACCTGGTGTATGGAACAGAGCAAATACATGTCACTCATTGGATGGTTGGACACTGTACATTTTTCTTTCTTTTGTTACTAAGGTTGAACATAGTTTCATTTTACTGACTCTATTTCTTTTGTGACATGTTTGTGTCTGTGGTGTATTTGCTTAAAGAGTCTGTGTTATTGCTACCACGGAAGACTGCACTTAGGCTGTCTGCTTTGCTCTGCAGAGAGGTCTCAGCCCCGCCCTGTGACAAGGACGCTGGAGCAGGTAGAGACCGTGTCTCATTTGAGATGGCACGGGCTTCCCCCCGCAGCCCTTCTCACGGAGCGTGGTGGGGCGCAGGCCAACTGCACCTCCAGGCGCGCGGGGACTGGGCTGACGCCGTCCTCACGGGAGAGGCGCACTCTCTCGAGCCGTCAGTGACACTGATAGAACACCTGCTCTGCGTGGCCGAGCGCTGTGGTCCCGTCTGTGAGGCTTGCTCACTACCGCACACAGTGTCTCCAGAAATAAACTGCAGGTGGCGTTTAACAGCAGTGCCCGCTGGCTCCTCTGCCTGTTTGTGTTGGCAGAGCTGCGGGTGTTTGTCTGTCTGGGTGGGCAGTCCTGCTGCCGATGTGAAAGCCCCCAGCACGAAAATAAAAGGGAATCGCCATGACGAGCGTCTCTTTAAGGACCTTTGTTCTGTATCTTGAAATGAAATCAATGTAAAGCTATTTGATAAATTATTTTTTCCATATATATTTTTCTGGGTATAAAAACAATATATACCTAGCAGTAATTAAAATATAATGTATAACTTAGAAGGAAGTCCTCATAATCCCCTTAAAGTAATCAGTCTTAACAGTTTGCTGTAATCTCAGATGTTAAAGTGTTTTCCACATAACTGTCTCTGTCTTTAAAGTTCTTTTTGATATGATGTGACAGGAATAACTAGCGCCAACAGCTGTTTTTCCTAGATTTTGAAGCTATAATTGTAAATTGAAACATTTCCCTTACTCTTTCCAAGGTAGGTTTGAAAAACCATGAATGTTTTCCTCATTGTTGTTGTTGTTTTTTCTTTTGGGAGGAATGTTAGCCCTGAGCTAACATCCACTGCCAATCCTCCTCTTTTTGCTGAGGAAGATTGGCTCTGAGGTAACAGTTGTGCCCATTTTCCTCTACTTTTTTTTTTTTTGGCAGTTGCCAAACTTTTCTTTTTTTTTTAATTGCTTTTTCTCCCCAAATCCCCCCAGTACATAGTTGTATATTTTAGTTGTGGGTCCCTCTAGTTGTGGCCATCTTCCTCTACTTTATACATGGGACACCTGCCACAGCATGGCTCGATAAGTGATGCTTAGGTCTGCACCCAGGATTTGAACCAGTGAACCCTGGGCCGCCTAAGTGGGGTGTGTGGACTTTACCACTACGCAATCGGGCTGGGCCCCCTTATTTTTTTTTCTTTCTTCATCTCCCCAAAGCCCCCCAGTACATAGTTGTATATTCTAGTTGTGGGTCCTTCTAGCTGTGGCATGTGGGACGCCACCTCAGCATGGCCTGATGAGCGGTGCCGTGTCCGTGCATAGGATCCGAACTGGCAAACCCTGGGCCTCTGAAGCAGAGCGCGCAAACTTAGCCACTTGGCTACAGGACCGGCCCCCTCCTCCTTTCTGTTTTAAATAATACGATTGTTGTTCTTTGTCTTGGCTTGATCTTTGGTAGGTCCTTCAGTGGGCAAGAGGACACATCAGATACGGAGTCCTCCACATTCACGGCTTATACACAGACCCCTGCGGGATGGTACTGGATCCATCAGGATATAAAGATGTCACTCAGGACCCAGAAGTCATGGTACGGCCCGCCTGAATTAGGTGCTGGTGGCATTCATTGGGACTCTGGTGGCCACTGGCCTTTGGCAGCCATCTAGGTAGTTTCCTGTCTCCAGGCGTCCCGCCCCTCTGAGCCGTACCGCTGCTGGGGCGGGCATGCGCTGCTGTTCTCGGCTGGACCCCAGGCCGGGCCCAGGCTCCGGCATCTTGAGCAGATGCGCAGTGACCATTCTGTGACTCTGTTGCTTGGGGTACAGTTGACTTTCTTCAGTGTGCCCTACAGGGCCTTGCACGCTATATTCCTCTTTTCCTCTGGCCACTCCTCTCTACTCAGTATTTCTTTCTGTTCATTCAGCTGTCTCCTCTCCTTTCTCTACTTAGCAGTCTCTAGCTTTCAAACCTACTTTTAATATTTCATTCTCTGTGAGGCTTTTTTGATATCCTAGACAAAGTAAAGTGTGGAAAACTGGTTCCCAGCTGTTCGTAAACTCTTTTTTAAAGATTTTATTTTTCCTTTTTCTCCCAAAGCCCCTGGGTACATAGTTGTGTATTTTTAGTTGTGGGTCCTTCTAGTTGTGTACACTCTTATTGTAGCACCCAGAGACGACAGTGTCTTCTCAGCTTCCCTGGCGAGCTCAGGGTCAGCACTGTCCTCAGTGCTCGTCCCCAGTCCTGCAGACCAGGGTGCGGTGTGGCCCAGTGGATGGCCTGGCCGACGCTCTTCGGCTCCGGCAGTGATGCTCTCGGCGGGTCACAGGAATGCCTGTGCTGACGCTGAGCCTCTCTCTCACATGTCGGGGTGTTGAATTGGGGATGCCCTGCTGCATGCCTGAGTGACCCCACATCATCTTTGCTTCCCCCTGTGCCCCCTCCCTTACGTCCCTGTCACTGGGCCCCTCCTCAGCTCTCCTGCCCTCACTCCCAAAAACCCTGTTCTCCTGACACCACGCCCCTCCCACAAAGTTCCCATCTGTGATCCACTGAGACAGATGTTACTTCCAAAGTGTTGCATGTATACAGTTCTGACTTGAAAAGAAACTTAATGTCCTTATTTGATGTTTTAATAATTTAAAATTATCCATCACTCTAGAAGATTTTAGTTGAGTGCACTGACAAGATTGGTGGGCGGGGTGGGCTGTGCAGTCAGCTGTCCTTATTTCGAGGCGCATCTCCATGGACCTTGATCGGGACCTGGGCCGGTCATCCTGCTTGGAGAGGCAGAGGCGCCCGTGACTGCCGAGAGGCAGACCGGCAGCGCAGCTTCGGCCTCTGTCCACAGAGTGCGGCGCCGCGTCTGTCTGTCCATCATGGCACCGTGTCCCCCTGTCCAGCGTGGCGCGGGGCCCAGAGTGTGTGCGCCTTTCCAGCTGTGTTGCTCACTATGGCTCTCGGGAAAGGCCTGCTAGGGAGCGAAGATTTAAAAGTGCAAATATGTTACTCTCTGGTGAGTCGTGAGAGCTTGCTGTCTTTGAGGTGAGCTGTTTCTTTGTTGGTTTTTTCACAGGAAGTTCTCCAGAACTTGTACCGCACCAAATCTTTTCTGTTTGTGGGCTGTGGAGAGACCCTTCGTGATCAGATTTTCCAAGCTCTTTTCCTTTACTCAGTGCCAAATAAGGTGGATTTAGAGCACTACATGGTTGTGCTCAAAGAGAATGAAGACCATTTCTTTAAGCACCAAGCAGACATGCTTTTGCACGGGATTAAAGTAGTGTCCTACGGGGACTGCTTCGACCACTTCCCGGGGTACGTGCAAGAGCTGGCCACGCAGATCTGCAAGCAGCGCAGTCCAGGTATGGGGTTTCTGCTTCCCTTCAATACACAAAACCCATAGGCTGCTTCCAGCTTTTTTCCGAGATAGAATTTATACACCATCAAATCAAACTGGGATGTAATTTTATATGCCATTAAATTCACCGGTCTTCAGTTACCTTGAAAAAACGTCTCTGTGTGCTTTAAAAATAGAAGATTGGGGTAACTGGTCCGATGGTAATAGCACTTTAAAGTTTCCAGCTGTGCGTGTAGTTGTCCACATTGATTCCTGTTTCAGACGGCGTGCCGTGCTCCCGATCACCTTACAGCCTCACGGCTGTGACACTGAGCCCCGACAAATGCAGGTCCCTCGCACCTTTATCCCGTGTCTACATTTTACAAGTTAAAACTACTGAGGCAGAAAACGATTTTATGAAGACTTTTTTTTCACATAACGTCTTTCCCGGCCCACTGTGTGCAGCGCAACTTTGAAGTCATTCTTGGCCCTTCCTCCGGGGCGTGGTTCCTCTGCCAGGAGCGAGCACGATAATCGAGCAGCTCTTCAGCCCGTCAGTTAAGGGCTTTGAGTTTGGTATCATAAAATATGGATGACGGCAGACTTGGAGAGGTCAGTGTTGACTGTCATTTTGTTGTAAGAGGAAGCGCAGATGTGCGCCCACACAGCGGAACCGGGTTAACTGCAAAGTCGGCTGGAGGGGACTGGCCGTGAGCTGGAGGACTAGAGGATGCTGAGATCATGGGTAACCAAACGCTCAGATAATCCGACAGCTGAGTTTTGTTCCCACTAGTCCTTTTCCCAATTGCTAATAATTAGCAAAACGAAGCAATTTAAGTTTCACTTCCATTGATAGAAGTCTAAGCAGGGCAGTAGCCAGTTTCTCCCTAAGGAGAAGGGCGCTGGCGCCTGCTGGGAGGTTTACGTTCTTGATCGTGGTTCCTGTTCAGTCACGGCATCCCCTGCTCCTCAGTAGACGCTCTCGCAGATGATGAGACGAGCTCAGAGAGGGGAATGAATTGCCTAGTTAGTGCGCAGATGTGTGGAAGCTGGCGTTGGGCTCCTGGAGTGACGGCAGAGTGCAGTACGCAGTCAGTGTGTCCCCGAGCAGGCCGTGTGTGTGGCTGGAGAGGGTGGTGTTCCCCTCGTCTCTGCTCCTAACCTCCGCCTCTCCTGCCTCCGCGCACACAACTGTGTGGAGGCGCAGGCCCTCACACCCCCCCGAGCGCCTTCCTGTCCCCACTGAGGCCTTTTCCAGGCCTGGCAGCTGAATGGATTCGACAGGCAGCCCAGGGGCTGAAAGGTCTTTGGATTTGTGATCTGACCGTGTCCTTAATGACATTTGTTCTTACATTCGTGAGGTACTTCTGTTTGGAGAGGGTGGTGTCGCAGCGATGACAGTAGTAATAGTGACGGCAGGTGCCAGGCCGGCCCAGGTGCTCCACACGTTCATTCGTTCAGTCCTCACATCGACCCCAGGTGGTCTGGAGAGAAGAGGACGGTGACCAGCCTGCGATCCCACCGCAGGCCGGAGCAGCATCCGAGCCGGCCGCGGCCTTGCCCCGTCGCCGGGCGCCCGTGCTGCCTTTTAGCAGGCCTCGCCGCGGCCGCCCCGAGGACGACGAGACCTGAGGTCGTGGCTCTGCTCACTGTTTTCCTTTCTTCTCCAGATGCCGATGGAGTGGACAGCACCACATTGTTGGGTAAAGCACATCTCGATTTTGACCAGCCTGACTTTTACCTACGCATTCCATTGTCTTACTGCCACTCTGTGAAATCACAGCTTGCTTGTCACATGGCATGTTTAGCCTGGCTTAAAACAGCCCCACCAGAGAGGATGAATAGTGGTGCCTTCATGACGGTCCCTGCCACAGTGAAGGGATCAGAAATAGATCACATCAACTGGGAAGCACAGCTTTGTCAGCCGTGGGCCCTCTGCTGGCCCCTGAGAGTAGTTTCCTGGCCTAGAGCCGAGACGGGAATCAGAACAAGCTCTGTGGTACTGTGCCATTCAGTCTAAGATGGGGGGACTTGACCGTTCCCTTCCGCGATCTGGATTGCAAAGGTTCTAAGCTTTCATGTAAATTTTCTGTGTCGTTCTTGTTTGAAACGTGAGTGCTCTTCTTGCTGGTTCACCTCTGCCTCTGTCTGAATTACCGAGCTGTGACAGCGCAGTGGCTCCCGGCGTCCCCCCTGGGGTGAGCCTGGCTCCAGGCTCCTCCATGCTGGTCCATCAGTTGGGGGGGCAGGGCCACTGAGTGCAGCCTGGGCTCCCTGCCTGTCCCAGTGGATGCACAGATAGGGCAGTTCCCAGTGCGGATGGGCTTCCGTTTGGCAATTATAAACCAGTGGCACTTTCCACTTGTGCCTTATTTCCATGTGAAAGGACACATTCATTAGAGTTGCTTCCTCTGACTTCTGGAACCATCCTTTTCTTTTGGAAAAAGCATTAGCTTGATAGACATAATTTGTAGTGTATGGCAGGGATTATTGGGCCAGTAAAATCAGATTTATAAACTGGTCCTTGGAGGGTGGATTCTAGAATAGATAAGCTTTTTAACAAAAGTTTTCATCTTTCAGGTAATGCATGCCAGGACTGTGCGAAGAGGAAGTTAGAAGAGAATGGAATTGAAGCTTCCAAAAAACTCCGACCGTCAGATACGGGTAAAGCGTTGGTCCTTTCTGTCGGGAGCCTGGTGCCGTTCGCCTTGTTTGTAGGTGTTTCAGTCAACGGGCTTTGTTTAGTGTCCCTCGGCCCTGGGTGGAAGGAATGATGCGCACATCCAACTGCCCAGAGGTACCCACTTTTACAAAGTAGTTTATTTAAGTTAGCATGTTATTGAGGAAAAACACAGAGAAAGTCCTCAAATTGTAAGGCCAGCCCAGTGACCTTTCACGGAGCGATGCACCATCCGGTGTTGCCCATCCGCTGAAGAAACGGAACGGTCGGGAGCCCTTCCCCACTTACCCTTTCGTCACCCTCCACTGCCCAAGGGCAGCTACTGTCCTGACTCTTGTCACCTTAGTCTCCAGAGAAAACCACTTGAAATCATGTGTTTTTTGTTATCTCTATCACTGAATGAGGATTTAAACTATTAATTTAAATAGTCTCTTTGGACTTTAAGACAGGTGATGTGGCTCACTCGTGCTGTCCCCTCCCTCTCCTTCCAGCTTCTCATAGTGTGTGATTTCTGCTTCTTTAAATAACGTACCTGTGTGCCTGCTTTGACTTCCCAGTGTGAGGACTGGGCAGAAATGGGCCCTGCGCTTCCCGCCTCCCCATCCTCCTCTCGCTTCCTGAGCGCACTCGGAGGGCAGTGTGGTCACCGGGGTTACCGGACGGGGAGGAAATGAGCCCTCTAGGCCGGCCACAGGTTGATTCTAAAAGTTGGAAAGCAAAAGCGTTTACTTTATTAAAACAATGTAAATATTTTTCCTGGTTAGACAACTTGTGTGTTGTGGTAATGGGTTCAGTATCACGATTCCTGTGCCAATTGCAAGACATGTTGTCAGTATCAAGGTCAAATGTGTTTTTTCCTTACATTCCATTAATTGTGCCTCCATTTTGGATTCTGCATATTGGTGTTGCTTTTTACTTATTTATTTATCTTTTCAGGATTGGCACCTAAGCATCTGTTGCCAATCTTTTTTTTTTCTTCTTCTCCCCAAAGCCCCCCCAGTGCATAGTTGTACATTCTAGTTGTAGGTCCCTGTGGTTGTGGCATGTGGGACACCACCTCAGCGTGGCTTGATGAGCAGTGCCATGTCTGTGTCCAGGATCCGAACCAGCGAAACCCTGGGCCGCCAAAGCAGAGCGCAAACTTAACCACTCGGCCACGGGGCCGGCCCTGCTTTGTTCTTTTTGAGTTTTAGATTCCTCTTTTCTCCTGTTCAAAAAAATAACGTTTCTCAGTCTTTTTAAATGTATGCATTCTCTCAGTCATGCTGCCCCTCATTTCCTGAGACATCTTCTGACCTTCTGCTCCATTCTGGACTGCTGCCTGCTTGTCACCCTGGAGTGCCTCTTCCTTGCTCTCCTAGATCACTGCCCAGGTCTGCCTTCTTCTTGCCCACGCCCCTGTTCTGCTCCAGCCTCCTCAGGTGGCTCCCACAGCCCCCCTGTGTGGAAGGTCAACTCCCCTTAGAGAGCAGTAGGAAAGCCACCCCATGGGCTGGGGATCCCCTGGATGCACCCACACCAGCAACCTGCTTCTCCCTCGCATTATGTCTACTTAGAGCAAGCTCTCTGGTCTGTTTGTTGCAGAGAGAGACCAAGGTGCATCTTCTCAGTGCTGCTGACCACACGGGCAGGCTGCAACGCTTGAAGGAAGGTGGCAGGCCCCTAGCCGCACGGCAGTCCTGTGTGTGTGTCCTCTGAGCCTACCTTCTCTGCACTTTCTCAGACTCCCACGATGTGTGTTGAAATTGGCCCCTCACTGACGACAACAACCCCCCGCCCCAGGCCATTTAAGAAGGGAGAAGCACTCATATTCATAGGTTGAGATTTCCACAGATCTTTGCAAACCTAATGTTATAATTTACTTTGATGGTATTTATAACTCACAAAGCCATTTCTAGACAATGGCTACCATTTCCATTATGGAGGCATCTTTAAAGTCTTTAGCACATAAGAAAAACCATAAGCAGTTTCTTTTTTTCTTTTTTTGCTGAGGAAGATTGGTCCTGAGCTAACATCTGTTGCCAGTCCTCCTCTTTTTACTTGAGGAAGATTTGCCCTGAGCTAACACCTGTGCCAGTCTTCCTCTATTTTGTATGCGGGATGCCGCCACAGTATGGCTTGATGAGCGGTGTGTAGGTCTGCGCCCAGGATTTCAACCTGCGAATCCCAGGCTGCTGAAGCACAGCATGCGAACTCAACCACTGTGCCACTGGGTTGGCCCCATGTTTCTGAAATAGAAATCCTATTGCAAAAACTTTTTTAAGCTGAACTATAACATTTTCATATTCCTTTCTTTTTGGTTTAAACAGATGATGCTGGAGGGTCTTGAAATCTTTAAAACCAATAAAACCTGCAACTTGAAAACCGGCCTCTGTAACCGCAGTGCCATACCCAGCCGTGAGGGACGTTCCGAGACCTCCACGTGGGATCTCAGCTCTCACCCGTCACGCCCCGGAAGGGCCCTGTGGGTGCGGGACCCTCGGGGGCCGCGTGAAGAGTTCCGCTGTGCGTGTGGGACTGCGCGGGCGGGGAAGCGGACACACTGCAGGTGTCCTTTGTGAGGACTGATGGACAACTACCTCAGGGGCCAGCTTGGCAGGAAGGGAGATCTCTGGTGTCCCTGATGCCCGTGTGACATGCCCTTTTTGTCAAGGTGGTTTTTTCTAATAACAAGGAGAGAGTGAAGACTGTCCAAGCAACAGTAGTTGCCAAAGAGAAAATAAGAAACTAGACACTTATATTTGGTAATTTTTACGTGGAGACGTCTGTTACTGTAAACAGTTTGCAAGCCTGTCTGTCCCCTTGTTAGATAGTAAAGCGCGCGGGTGCTCTCAAAGAAAGACGAGCTGAGCAGGGCCGCTTGGGAATGGCGATGTTAGTAACTTCAGTCCCCAAGAACGGCGGGTCTGGCGTGCGAGGCAGCGGAGTCCCGGAGACCCGGAGGCCCTGTCACAAGTGCAGCCCCGTGCGGTGCGAGTCTGTTTTGTGACTGACAGCTGGGAAGTTCCGAGTGGAGCACGAGACCAAGTTTGAGCTGGGAGCGAGTGTATACTCCAGGCTCTCCCAGCCACCCTGCGGGGTGCGGCCAGCCCTTCCGTTGTCTCCAAATGCGCTTCCTGTGGCCCGGCGGAGGGCCTGCAGAGCGCGAGGGAGGCCAGACTGGGGGCGGGCCTGCAGCACTGGGAACGCTGCCAGGCTTCCTCCAGGGCAGACACGGCGCAGGCCTTGTGCCCGGGAGTCGCTCTGTGACTGTGGCAGAGGCCCTGCTAGGTTTACCTCCCAGAGGCTGCTTATTTTGAATGTGACATTTCTTGCCAAGCCCTGGGACACTCCCCACGGGTGGCAGTGTAGCTCCCCATAGGTATAGGGAAAGTAAGGAACAAGAAATAGAAAGTTGGGGCGTGTAGGGAATGAGAGAAGCCAGAGACTTGCTTAAGACCTTTTCTTTTTGAAGCATGGAAAACAAACCTTTTATGTTATTCTGGTCATAAATAAAATTTTGACTTCAACTCTTTGTGCTCAGCTTTTCTTAGTTATGACAAGGCTTGGTATAATGTATTTCAGGAGAATTTGTACCTCGAGTGGCCGCATAATTGTGAAATCAATTAGTGATTATTTGAATGTATTTTAACTTTAAAAAGCAAACACTATAAATTGGGTTTTTTTTAAAAGACATGCTTACAAAGTACAGTCATGGATGGATACCTGAATCTGAAAGCTGGCCAGACATAGGGTATAGCGATAGGACAAGCATGGACAGTGACATGGAACAGGATATACAACTGGAAAAGGAAAGCAGAACCAGTTCAAGATGAGCTTTGAGTGCCGTGCTGAAGGGGCGGAGGCCTCGTTGCTGTCATGAATGAATATGTGTATAGTCAGTTTTGCTGTAATGCTGGTTTTAAAATGCAAATTATTCCGATGATTGATAGAAGAGAAAGAAACGATTTGAGTATAACTCCTTTGTTTATGTCTCATTTTGTCTGAGAAACACTAGGTCCGCGGCGACAAAGGATGGCTGTTTGCCGACTGCCTCAGGCTAGCGCGGTGTTTACATTTTTCAGTGGTCACGTTCTACGCAGCCCTGGAGGTACCTACCCCAGAGCCTCCTTGCCGCCTCGCCAAGGCCTGAAATGCTCGCTGGCCCTGCCCCAGGTGAAGGCGCTCTGCTGCGCCCCGCCGAAAGGAGCCGCACGGACACACCCAGCCCACTACGCGCCAGCCCCGCCAGCTCCCCGGGACGACCCTCCCAGCTCGAGCACCGCAGGCTGCACCCCGCCATGCCCACTTCACAAGCCAGCGTCAGGGTGTTTGAGATAAAGCGCCATATTTACTGTAGTTGTACATTTTTTAACAACCGTTTAACGTGTGTAAAGCCGGCTGTTTTTATTAGGTTCCTGTCTTCGCTTTGGAGCGTGGCCCCCACCCCATGTCTCCCTGGGCGCTCTGGTTTTCACTGTGTGCCTGTGCCCGGCATGGTGCTTTCAGGAAGGCAGGTGTGTGGCGTTAGAATAGAACTGACTACTTGGAAGGATCAGTGACAACATATGAGTCCGAGTTATGAGAGAACAGCCCAGGCAGAGATAAGGGTCTACACTGAGCTCATGTGGCACTAAAGGGACATTTCAATATTAAGTTGATGTCTTTTGAGGCAGAGGAAGTTGGTGATTTAGATGGGACTGCAGGAGTAGAAAAAGGAACAAAGGATAACGACAGTGGCTTCTGCTATCTACAGTTCATAGCGACGAGCTGGGGGAGGGCAGGGGGCAAGGCTTCTGTGACTTAATCTGTTTCTTAGGGTGCATTTTCTTTACCTGAAACAATGAGTGTTCAAGAGCAATTCCATTACTTCAGGAGGCTCCTCGTTGGTTAGCACTTGGGCCCAAAGCCGTCTTAAGTACAAGAGCGCCGGCACCTTAGAAGTTTTCATTGCGTTGGGAAACGGACATGAAGTAGCATGGAAAAGCCGCCAGCTTACCTTCCTACCCTAACAGTGTATTTAGGGAAGAACTCAGTTGCTACTTGGGAAAGCCTGTGTTCTTCAATATTTCCTTCTTAACGGAAATTCCATTTAGAAAAATTTAGATTGCATTGAAGCAGACAATTCAATTTCACTTTAAAATTTTTTTAGTTTCTAAAATTTTAGATTGGAGACATTTGAAAACAGAATATTTATGTTTTATTGATACTTTCAATATTAACATTAGTTTCTCTAAAATAATTTCCCATAAAACTCAGGTTCAACACCCTATAACTAGTATATTTAGAAACCAAGAGTTTCCCTTAAAGATTACTTAAAAGTACAAGGCAAGGTCAGGGAGAAGATGCGGAAGTCAAAATTTTTCTGACTGGCTTTCAAAATAGAAGTTAAAACTATGGCACAAAATTGTACCCTTTTTTTAAAAAAAAATGAAAAGTAAAAACTCGTTCAAAGCTAACTCTCACAGGAAACTTGGCGTACTGGAACGGGGTCTGAACTCCCTTCCGGGGAAGTGAGCCGCAGCATCTTTGGCTGGTAACCATTACGCTGTAACGGCACACGGGCTGTCTTCTCGCTCCAGGAGTTTGTTATTGAAGAGCTGTTCGAACATTAACGTGAGTACTAAACAATGGTTCACCTGACACTATGTGACTGTCCTGTTGGCTCCTACAGCTGGCAGCTGTGCCAGGGCCCTTGAGGTCCTAACGGGACTCGCGCTGTCTCTTGCTGCTCTCTCGGCCTTCAGTGTCTGGATACTGAGAAAGATCTAGGGTCAAAACTCGGCTGAACATGCAGTCATCTTGCTGAAATGGAGAGAAGACGGTTAAGTCACTTCCTCTACTTAGGAAAAAAATGTTATTAAATGAAAATAATGGCTGTTACTAAGTCTGGATTTGTATTTAACAAGGAACCTCCTTGGGGCTGGCCTGGTGGCACAGTGGTTCTAAGTTCACATGTTCCACTCCTGTTCTGCTTCAGCAGCCCCAGGTTCACCGCTTCAGATCCTGGGTGCGGACATGGCACCGTTTGGCAAGCCATGCTGTGGCAGGCGTCCCACATATAAAGTAGAGGAAGATGGGCACAGATGTTAGCTCAGGGCCAGTCTTCCTCAGCAAAAAGAGGAGGATTGGCAGCAGTTAGCTCAGGGCTAATCCTCCTCCTCAAAAAAAAAAAAACCTTACAGCCATCTAAAAAGGTATATCAATTGCATTTACACCAGTTTTATTTATTAATTTTTGTATTATCTGGTGAAGGGTACCAGTATATGCCACCCCAAAATACACCTCTTTGGCATCTAGACTGCTTTGAGCTAAAGACTACTGAGAACCAGCCGACGCAGGAAAAGCTCTAAAAACTGGGCACAAGTCTTCCTTTTGTAAAGGAGATTTACATTTATGTAAAAGATGACACCCTCCTCCACTCTCGTCAGTGGAGGAGGCACCTGCTTGACTCTGCACGGCTAACCTGACAAACACCCCTTGCGTATCAAACTCTTCCTGGTCACCTTCCCATCACTTGCCTCCCCTCAGAAGCCACAAACCCTTTTTCTTATTTTACCCTAACACGGCATATAAGCCCGAGTTCTAGCCACCCCTTTGGGTTTCTCATTGCTGGGTGCGCCCATGTGTCCATGCGTGATGCACGTGTTAATAAAATTACTGTCTGTTTTTCTCTTGCTAATCTGTCTTTTGCCAGTCTCATTGACAGGGCCCCAGCCAGAGAACCTAAGATGGCCAGAGGGAAAATGATTTTTCCCTCCCCTACACTGGTCTGAGAATTTCTGTTTCTCTCCTGCAGCATATTCCAGTGGTTCCCTAACATTCTGTGGGCACAGAAAGGGAAATTAATTTTTATCTTAGCTTAAAGGAAAGTGAAACCTAACTGTCCAAAAACTGAATGATTGGAGTTAGTTGCCCTAGTCCATTAGCTCGAGTAAGGTGAACAGCTTAAGAAAGGTGCGTTCGAATTCTAAAAGTTACTGAACAACTTGGAACTCTAGTCAATTTGTTTTTCTTCTGGAACTTTTGGAAGATAAATGGTCCTTGTTAGTTCTTCCCCAGTGCATTTGTTTCTGCCTAAAACAGTCAAACATTACAGAAATAGGAAATGCAGTGGTAACAGTCATTCTGGGTCAGTTCATGAGTACTATTATTTTACAAACAAAACTATCCAATTTACTGTTCTGCAATTTTAGATTTGCTTTTTCACTTAAAATATATCTTAAATCTCTGTACTGCTATAGAAAAATATTTGAGTTACTTTTAAATCTTATTTGATTTAAAAAAATCACTTAAGCCTATACTGATCCACTGCAGAAATGAAGGAGTATCCGCAGACCCCCTTGGAACGTGCGGCCGCCTCGGGACTCCTGTTCCCTTCCCCCGGTCTTCACCTCCGGATAGATGCCTATCAGCGCGTCGGCTTTGGAATAGAACTCCTCTTTCAGGGAAATGACTATCATCTGAAACTGTTCTTGAGTCTGCTCTTTGATGTAACTCGATACCTGCAAAGACAGAAAAAGCACACCTTTCACCACAAGGAAAGGCCTCGTTTCTGGGCTCTGGGGACAGTGCTTCTGCATCTCTGAACCCGCCCATTTTAGGTGACAAGGCACTTAACTTGCCTTTCTGGTAATGCAGCAAATCCACTACAATTGCAGAAATGGAAATAGCTCAGATTCTAAAATAAGAGGTTAGTAAAAAAGGACAAGCCTCATTAAATCTATGATCTAAAACTTTGACTATTTTTAAGAATAAAGCTTTAATTTACGAAACTATCATGACTATACAATCAACGTTTATCACAAGATAAAACAAAGACGAACAATCAAATATTTCATGAGGGTGAAGAAAGACTGGTGTTTAAACTTCCAACTTCCTATTCTGCCAACTCACAGCCTGAAGCTGGGAAGAATATGGCAGTTATATATGTTCATAATCCATAATCAAGTCATTTGGTTAAAGGGGAATTCAATGGCTCCTTCAGGAAGCTCAGTTCCAAGGAATGAGAAGAACAAACTGGGTTCTGGACAGGAATGGGTCTTGGCGAACAGGCCCCACTCAGAACTTGGAGAGTGACAGAGAACTTAGACTCAAACCACAGTTTAACAAGATACTTGCCAACCCCCTAAATCTCTGCAGGCCTGGAGTGGGTCTTCTCCATGTGGATTGGTCCTGACTGCACCCAAGATACTAAGGACACAAACTTCAGAAGCAGAAATGGCAGCTTCAGTTGAGAAATGAGTCACTGGCTGAGGTGAATGATGAGAGTGGAGGAAAGCTGCTTGTGGCTAAGAGGCTGAATTCATAGAAGGGATCCGGCATTAGAGGCAGCAGTAGCCGCTACGATACAGGACTAAACAGTCTTGAGATGATAGGAATGGAAGATGTATAGAAGCAAAGACGGAAGGCATGCATTTTGCTGGGAGAGTTTACCGTGATAAATGTTGGGCACCTGATCACAAGAGGGAGTGGACGCTACTGCATCGTTGCTCATACTACCTAACTGCTTATACTTAATTCAGCAATAGAGTGCCAGGAATATAAATCTCAAAGGGAAGCCAGAAGTTAGGTTTTTAATACATAGGATGGGTGCCAATGGAGAAGAGTCTTAAGACCAAGTACCTGAAGATGGCACTAATACAAACATCTAAGTTTTTCTAGAACATATAGATACCTTAAATGCTACTGAGAAAAGAGCCAGTCCACAAAGACAGATCCCTCCCCCAGCAGCACACAGAGAATACGGGCTACAAAGGGCCAATATTAGCCTCCTAGGGGAGACTTCTCCCCAGTGAGTCGGGCCGTGGAGTCCAGCTAGCTGACGCATACTGGCTGACATTCAGAAGAGGGAAATCAAGCTTTTCTTTTGTTCCTATGTTTTCTTCTCCTTCCCCCAGTTACCTGAAAGTCTCTGGCAGCTCACAGAATGTGGCTCTTGCCCGTCCTCTACAATGTTCAAGGGCCTGGGGATTTGTTTTGTTTTTAAATTTTGTGGATATGGAGTTGATGTGCTAAATTTTCAACACTGTGACATGCTCAGTAAGCAGGGTCTGAGAGAGATTTGGGTTAGATGAATACAATTTGGGAAATGTTGAAAGATGACATTCAAGCCAAAAGAAGGTACCTCAGGGTAAAGCTGCTGAAAGTTCCCTGACTCCCAGGTACTTCACATGAGACTCAACAGAGTCAGAAATCAGGGAGGTCAGCTCCAGAAATAGAACCTGCCAGGGCGGCGCCCCAAGAGTGAATGCATCTCTCAGGGGCGGGCTCGTTACCCAGGCTCATAAGACTAGGGTATAAACCAGAATGCCAATTTACCAATTAATAGTGAGAAATATTTCTGTCATCATGACCAGAGCAGCCTCCTTGTAAGCAGCTGTAAATGCAAAGCCCAGTCATTTCTGGAAGATGGATGTGCCTGGAATCAGAACCAGGAGTCAAATTCATCCATCTCCAAATATGGATGGCTCTGGCAGGAGGACCACGACCCCGGGAATCTGCAGGCAGGAGCTGTCCCACCCCTGGGCAGTGATGGGCACTGCCAGTGTTTGCCTCCGTCCTTTGGTCATGCTTCCGTAGCTGACCTCACTCTCATGTCGAAAATTTCCAGTCAAGATATGTGGCCAGCCTGAGAGCCCGTCTCCCAGTAGCCTGGTATAGCCAGGCATTGATCTCTAAGGCTGACTCGAAATTGAACTCTCAAGAGTTAACCTGTTTCCTTAGTTGCCTCATTGTTTCAAATACTGAAAACAGGACCACGTACAAGTGCTGTAAATGACTGGATAAATTTTAATAAATGAATGGGGGGGCAGACTTTTGAACTCTAATTCCTTTGGAATTTTATTTAGAGATGGTAGTTTTGGACTTTGTAAACAACTAATTTGGTCCTGTTTGCCTGGGTGCTTACCATTGGAGATTCTCTAGGTCCCAGTATCTAATTCTGGGGAGAAGCGAGCTGCCCTGCAGCAATGCTGTGGATCAGGTACAGTGATCCTCACTTGACTCCCAGTATCAATTCCCCAACAACTCGTGCAGGGTCCCCACAACCTTGAATGAAAATTACTACCCTGAATCATCTGGTTTTTAGTCATTTAACTTAGATTTGCTTTTTAATCAGCAATTATCAAACAAACTCTCTGTTCGGGGTAAACTGCCTTCTGACCACAACATGATCCTTGAACTGTATACATTCTATTAGAAATTAAATGCAGAAAGAAACTTACTTTGCCAATGTTAGTATTGTCCAGGGCTGCATCCACTTCATCTAAAACAAAGAATGGAGCAGGCCGAAAACTAGAAAAAAATTACAATCAAGTAAGCTACAACTTTCTATTTGCTTTACGAAGACTTGGACAACAAGATTAACAGTATTCAGAACGAATAAGATACGTCCCTTTGGATGCTTTTGTTGAGGTCACCAATGACCTCTGTGTTGCTAAATCCAGTGCTCAGTTCTCAGTCTGCATCCCATGACCTTTGCAGGTGGTCCTCTGAGATCAAGGATGACAGGGTCCACTCCCCCATCTTACCCACTGTTCCTTCCTTGTCTCTTCTGCCAACTCCTCCTCATCTTTCTAACTTCTTAACACTGCAGTGCCCTCAAGGCTCAATGCTTAGAGTGCTCCTCCATCTAATTAGCTCCCTTGCGATTTCACGTGATCTCAAGGTTTTAAACGCCATCCGTATATTGATGCCTCCCACGCTTCCAGTGACAATTCTGAACTCTTGCCTCACGCATCCAACGGCTTACTCAGTTCCACGTGAGTGTCTAATAACCAGCTCAAACTCATCCAAAATCGAACTCCTCACCTGCCCCTGCAAAGCTCTTCCCTCCTGTAGTCCTCTCCGTCTCAGGTAGCAGCAGCTCTTATCACTCTAGTCGATTAGGCCAAAACTCACCGAGTCATCCCTGACTCAGCCCTGGTCCCACTCGTCACCATCTTTCACCGGGACTGCTACAATGGCTTCCTAACCCTGTGCCTGCCACTGCTGTGTGCAGTCTATTTTCCACAAGTCCAGGCTCACTCTGGCCTCAGGGCCTTTGCATTTGGTATTTCTCAAGTCTAGAACTTTCTTCCCTTAGCTATCCCCATGACTTGTTCCCTTAATTCCTTCAAATCTATGCTCAAATGTTACCTTCGCAAACAGGCCTTCATGGAAGACTCTTTAATATTGCAAACCCCTCCCTGCTACTTATTATCTCCATTCCCTGATTTAATTTTTTCTCTTTAGCATCTGTCACTTTCTAATAGTCTGTATATTGGAGAATTTCTTTACTAATATATCTTATTTATCGTCTTTCTCCCCAACTAAAATGAAGTACCTTTGAGGCAGGGATGTTGTTTTGTTCACTGCTGTCTCTCTAATGCCTATAATGCCATCTGACACATAGTACATATTTAATAAGTATCTATTAAATAAATGGATGGAAACAACACCTAGCAATAGTCTCATTCTGCTAAGATTTACTCAAGACAGCCTCATGGTTAGACTCCTGCCTCCCCTGAATCGATGGTATTTCCTTCTCCCTTCCTGTAGTGGCATATTCCTTTTCCTTCTTGAGACTAGCTGTACAACTGTTATGTTGATCTTCCTGATTATGAAAATAGAAAGGCAGTATTATCTACACCTTAGATCTTCATCTAATGCATTGAATGTTGAAATTTAATTGCCTTAATTTTAGCTAACTTCTTATTTCTTGATTTACTTTACAAACAAACAGTGCTACCATCATCAGTGGAAATGAGGCTAAACATTTTTTTCAGAAGAAATACTTTGCTTTACATTTCTTACTAAATAGCAGATCTCTGAATACAGGCTAGGAAAATAATATGCAAGTTGGATGTTTTTGTTTTATTTGGGTTTGTCATTGTTTTTTGGCAATTGTGATGTCAGTTCTGGCCATTCAAAATATTTATTTTTCTTCTTTCTTTTCTATAAAGCTGGAATATTAGTAGCTACTGATAATAACAGAAATTGAATGAAAACCTGTCCAAGACTTCTTTCTTAGATTTGCTGTCTAAATTCTTATAGGCCTAAAGCGTAAGCTGACTTGCCTGGCTGAAGAAAGAGTCTTGTATGACATAGTTAAATATAACTAAAGACAAGGAATTAACGAATCTTCTGTAGGAAGGTCCATTTGGTTTCTGCCCTGATACAGAACCGAACAGCCCATTGTGACCTTACCTGTGCACAGCGAACAGGAGAGCCAAAGCTGCCACGCACTTTTCTCCCCCTGACAAATTGTCCATTGGCATGAACCGTTTGCCTGGGGCCACGCAGTTATAGCTAATTCCCTCCAGGTAAGGCTCTTCTGGGTTCTCTGGGCTAAGAAATGCCTGAAACACATGTTATTTATTTAGCAGTATCAGAAAAGCAATTAGGAAATTTCAAACATCAATAAATAATGTATTTAGCTCTACATGTAATCACAGAAAACAGGCTTGTCTGGGTGGGAGAAGAGGGAAAAGATTCTTACAGACATCAAGGGTCAGGTCTTCCCACCAGACTGCCATTCAAACCTCAGCAGCACACGCTACAATCTTAAAAAAAAGTCTTCATTCAATTCACTCATTGGTCCATTCATCAAATATTTACTGAACACCTACTATGGGCCAGGTACTGTAGCTACAGAGATGAATCTTACCCTCAGGAAGTTAATGGGGTTTATTTTAGTCCGAAAATAAATAAATAATTTTCCAGTGAAATTCTAAATATCTGATCCAGGATCACCTCTCAGTCATAAAAGACCACCAGAAGAAAGAGGTAAAAGCAGATATATAAGATCCGATCTACATCTTTATTCCATAGTCAATTCCACAGTACTTGCTAGGGATATTGATAATGGAATGGGGAATGGTCACAGCAAAGAGACTATCACATAGGGATATAGCTGGATTTGACTCCTGCCTTTAGTTCTTTCCCTCTCCTTTGTTACTCTGGTCAACTCCACAGACCCCAGAGCAACCACTTCCCAAGATCCTCTTCATTACCCTAATTTAACTGCAGAGACCACTGGCAGTTCTATAAAATCAAATTAGTACCAGACAACACAATTTCAGAACTGAAGAGAACTTGGAAACCAGATGTCTAACCCACTCATTTTTCAGATGAAGAAACAGGACCAGAGAGATCTGACTTGTCCAGGCTGGCCAGCGGTGGAGTGAGTGGGATCTAGAACACAGGTCATGATAACCAATCTTCGTGAGCTGACTCTGCCCCAGAAATGGGCCACTCAAACAACATGGTGGGTTATTTACTACCAGAAAAAATTACCAGTGATAACACAATGTTCCCACTCAAATTTGTGGGTGAAAAATACATACTTGGGCACTGTTGTTTCTGCAGAGCTTCTTGTAGATTTGATCAATTGCGATTGAGATGTGCTCAAAACACTGGCTGAAAAGATCATATCTCCTTTTTTTCACCTGTTCAAACTCTTGCCTACACATTCTGGCTTCCTTTCTGCTGGCCTCAAAAGCTAAGAGAGAATCAATATTCTTTATTTTGGAGACCACTGAGGGGCTTCTTTTATTTCAGCTTTAAAGCATAAAATATTTTAATAAATTGGATTTTGAGTTTGGTTGTCTTGAGTAAAATCTACCTTCAAAATACCTCAACTATGATTAATTCCAAGACCATGGCTCTTACAATTGATAAGCCCTTTTTCTAGAAGGGTTAGTTTTTAAGTAATAATGACAAGTTCTGACAGAGTATCTAATATGCCTATTATGCTCTATGAAGAAATGCCTGTTCTAAAATAAACAATACACCTGTTTTTAAATTAAAGCAGAACACTTTTCAAAAGCAAGTAGTCATTCAGTATTAAAAGTATGCATTAATATAAGACAATAGAGAAAAATCTATATTAAAAACAAAGGCACAATCAAGGGGGGATTGTTGGTAAGTGTTACAGAAATCAAAACCCCTAACACCCATGCATATGATCTTGCTAACAACTAAAGCTCAATTTCACCATCTGTGGACTCCTGAAACTTGTCTCTGACAGTTTTTAGGTTCTCCACGGCTCTCAGGTTTGGGGCCGCTGTCTTCAACAGGACGTCTTCCTGGGATGCGACTTGCTGTAGCAGGAGTCTAAGGTGGGCCTCGATTTCGTTATCGGATTGTAGAGCCTATTATTGGTAAAGAACAGCAATGACTGGCATGCCTTTTAGATCCAAACTGCTAAGGTTATTAGGCACAGGGCCTTCAGGATCTGGCCCCTGCCCCACTCCCTCCACATCTACTCCCTCCCTCCCTTGAAGCTCTCTCTGAGTCTGAAATGCAGGGAGGCCACACTATTTGTGTCTTCTTGCTCCACTGTGTTCTTTCATGGCTCTAGTGTAATAGACGCTGCTTTCTTGGAACATGCTTCACCTCCATATTTCTTAATTCTGGCTAAAAAGCAACGACTCCTATGTAACCTTCATTTACTCATTCATTAAATATTGGTCATCTATTATGTATTAGACACCGAGGATTCAATCATGAGAACTCTTCTGTCCTTGCCCTTAAAGAGCTCATAGGGAAGTCAGACGTAAACTGGCATTTACGACAGTATGAAGACTCTAACAGGCAAGCAGGGGCACTACAGGGCAGGGGGAAGGGATCTAGCCCATCTGGAGGGATAACACTGAAGCTGACACCTGAAGGATGAAGAGAACGAACTTAAGTGAGGAAGGAGGGAAAAAGTGGTATAGGCATGAGCTTCCAGGAAAACTTTCTTGACCTCTCAGAGGGGGTTAATTAATACAGGATAAAGGTGACATTTTGATTTAGATGGGAAGAGAATTATTTGAAAAATGTTGAGTAAATCGGTTAACTTAGCTAATTTTTAAAAAACAGAATGTCACCTCATTACATATACTAAAACAAATTTCAGGTGAATCAAATAGATAAATGAAAACAAAAGAAAGCTGTAAACAGGAAGAAAATATTTATTCAGTAGTGAGGTGGGGAAGGACTTTCTAAATATGAAAGCACGAAACAGACTATAGAAAAGACAAAAGCTTCTTTCTGATTGCCAAAAGATACCACAAATACAATCAAAGAGCCCAACAAATCTAATAAAATATACTAAGAACATAAGAAATTAAAATATGTGGTGAATATCGCTACTCGGCATCTATTCTCCATTTCCTCCTTTCTAACAGAGCCCAAGTTTGACCATTCCTGCCTCATGAGTGCCAGGTACCTGGGGTGAGATAGCCTGCTTGGTCTAAGACAAATGTACCCCCATCCCTAACAGTGATTGGTCAGGAATGAACATGTGAGCCAATTCAGGTAACTGCGATGAGGGGACAATTGCTGGAGCTTCCTGGGAAAGCTCTTTCTTCAATCTTAAGAATAGCACCACTGAAAAAGGCAGCTTCTCTCTTCTCTGAAGGTTGTGGTTGTGTGGAATGGCTATGGTCATTTTGCTCTCATGAGAGAAGCAGCCTAAGGACGAAGTCAAAACACAAAGAAATGTATGGCTGTGTGGATGACTGAGAAACAGCCAGAACTGCTAAATGAAGGAGACCATGAGGCTGGATTCCAAGGCTGCTCTGCAGGTGTGAAGGATCTGTCACCTACTGAGGGTATCTCATTGGGACAGTGACAGGGCAAAATCAGGTTGCTAGAGTATCTTGGCTACTTTTGTCTATTTCAGGACTTCTCAAAGACTTCAACATTCATTGTGAATCTCCAAGAAAAGAGTCTTTCAAAAAACTGGCTGATCACAGAAACTTTTCTTCTTTGGCAAGATATTTTCACGGTACTAGCGTTTTACAGAACACATAGCAAGAAATACTGATATAAACATTTTAAGAAGTGACCTATTTACACTATTTCTCCAAAAACCATTAGGAAATCTACTTTTTCCCTAAACTTATGCTCTAGCATCTAAAAATTATTCTGCAGTATTTAAATATTCAATATTACTGTGAGTTAGTCATAAACAACAGAAATCTTTCAATTACCTTCAAATCCTTTCTTAGGGAGCTGTAGTCTATCTCAATGGCTTCTTCTTTTTCATATATATCAATTGTTGCCTGGGTGCTTTCTGCTTCAGTTCCCAACTGAAAAACATGTGAAGCCCTTTCCTTGTTATCTGAAATGGTGACCTCTACTCATCCGTCTGCCCCAAGCCTTTCAGTTGATTGCTATCTCACTCGGATTAAGAGTTAAAATCCTTGCGTTAAAGGGCAAGGCCATGCTGATCTGGCCCAAGGGATCTGAGCCTCTGTCACCCCTTTAACTTCATTTTGCGTCAGTCTCCCCTGGACTCACTCTGCCCCAACCACACTGGCCTCCTTGAACAGAGCAGGCACATGTCCACCTCAGGGCCGGCACACTGCCCTCTGCCTGGACAACCTTCCCCTAGCTGTCTGCATCACTTCATCTCTCTCCTCCTCTATTTACCGGCTACCTTCTCTCAGGCAATCCATGGCCTCTCCATCTAAGATTGCCAACTCCCCACCACTGATACTCTTTATTCCCCCTCCTGCTTTATTCTTTCTTTAGCCTCTATCACTACCAAATACATAAATATTGTTTTTGTTTACCATTTTGTTTGTGTGCCTATCTCTTCCTCACCAGAATGTGAAGGAAGGGATTTTTGGCAGTTTTATTTACTGCTGTATTCTCGGTGCCAAGTGCAATGACTGACAGCATAGATTTGAATTTCAATATATCACTCTGCATGAAGGAAGGAACAGGAGAGAAGGAACAAATAAATGAGCACTTATTCAATTGTAGGCTGGCCTTTGGTGTAATGCTGATACCAAAAACCAAGACTCACAAATTAAGAGGAAAAAACCCTTTGTTACTCACTCCTTTCTAGATAGTCTCAACTGAAACAAACTCATGTGAAACTATTTTTGGAATTAAATTTATGTAATATACATATGTTAAAACAGTTCACATAGAAGTTGAACTTGGACACAAAATGTAACACTGAATTCCTGAATCTCACGATTCCTATTTATGTAATTTGACATCATATTTTATATTAAGCTTCTATATGAGTCATCTGGTGTCTTGCTATTCAAAGTGTGGTCTGCAGGCCAGCAACAGTGGGCCTCAGCTGGGAGCCATTAAAAATGCAGACTCTTAGGCAACAAGATCTCCAGATGCTTCACGTGTATAGTATGATTTGGGAACCAGTGATCTAGTTTCCCCCACAATGTAAGAGTCTTCTACAGTAACACTGGCAGGTGTAGGTAACTTACCCTCTATCTGAGTATCTCCAATGGAAGAGAAATCTCAGGTTCTACCTCATTGTTGAAAGACAATTACGCCTACAACAACTGTTGTCAGACAATTAACTCTACTCAGCGATCCTTGTTCAGCCCTCCGGAGAGAGACAATTTATACCTAACGCCTTTTCTATTCTGGGCTTTATAGAATATCTTGTACAGTATCCCCATTACATAGCCACTACTTGACAGGCTTAATCAATTCCAGTCGGAGAACTCACCACTAGAGGCCCTCCATCTTTCAAATACAAAGTGTTCCCTAGCAAAATAAATCGGACTCCGTGCACTCCATGCCACGAACCCGAGAATCCCCCTCAGGACCAGGAAGAACAAGTGTGATCCTCCTTCTATGACACACTTCTTTTACTGGAGAAGAATGGTCATATTCCCCAAGCTTTCTCTTCTCAGCACGGTATGGTCTGGTCCTTTTCACTATCCCAGACACTTTACTCTTAAAAAGCATCATGCTTTAAAAAGTGAATGCAATATTCCAGTGTGGCTTGACAAGCACACAGTGGAGCAGAACTACCACTTTTTCTTTTTAGACAATGATTCATTATTAAGCCAGCTTAAGGTCTTAATACCTGCTTTGAAATACCCCACCATGAATATGAAAGTCTTTCAAGCTAATAAAGAAGTAAACAATTTCACATTCATGCTAATAAAGAAGTAAACAATTTCACAACATGGTAGGCATGTTGGAATATACTTTTGAAAGAAAATGGGACCAAAGCAGTAGCATGAATACTTGACCAACAACATTCACTTAGATGTCAGCTGTTAAAATCGCTCCCTCCTCTAGTCTATTCTATAAGAAATCTCTTCTAAAATTTCATTCCTTTTTAAACAGACTTTCTATTTCTTTCTATAGTATAGTGAGAGTTGTTTTTCCGCTCCCATCTACTGCTGTTAACAGATCCTTCTCTTCACTCTCTCTCTGCACCCACAAAAGTGTACACGTGACCCAGAATGAGCCAAGCCGAGTTCTTCCCAGGATTTTTCTAACAGAGAGGGGAGGGAGAGCTCTCTTTCCCCTCTGGTCAAAGCTAGTGGTTACAGCTGCAGCCTCATGGAGAAAGCTGATCTGAAGGAATAAAGCCAGTATATACCGAACCAGAAAGAGTTCTTGGCAGTGCCCAAATTCCTGGACTGAGTCATGCGTGAGACCACTTCCATTCCAGCCCTATCCCTTTACCCCTTCCCCCAATACCCGCCTTAGAATCATCTGAGTTGGGTTTATGTCACTTGTGGCCCGGAAATGGTTTTCTCCTTTCCTTACCTCCTATCTGGAATGTAATCTCTGCCAAAACAGAGAAAAAAGACAAAGACTTTTTGAGGAAAATATTATACTAGAATTATGCTATAAGAAGTGGTCAATATTAGGAAAAGAAAAATTGTTTTATAGATACTTCAGTTGGAACAATCCAAGGACTGAAGACTTCTTGTGGAGTGGAAAACATGATGGAACTGAATGGATTTCTGACTGTCTGAGGGCAGAGTAGAAATGGGGGGAGGAAGGACGTAGCAGGGGGAGCAGAGAAAAGAGATATACTAACGTACGCAGTAAAAGCTCAGAGATGACTTGAGAGGCAAAACAAATAACTATTTTCACCATCTTCTGCATTAGCTAATAGTAAGACAGTCTTTCTGAATGTACAGTCATATCTTTCCTAAATGAAGGACAGAACTAAGGGCGTATACTTCCAACCAATGTAAAGAGCACTGTGTAATACAAATGGGGTGAGAAAGAAAGAAAAAAGGCAGACAGAGAAATGTTCACCATTAGTGGACCTTGGTTTTATCTTCTAATCCCTTGGGGGTCCATGGGGGTCCATTTTTGCTTCCCCCTGCACTCTCGCCACCTGGAGAGACTCAGTGAGGCATGTTTCTTCTGAGAACCACCTCGAATCGTTGGTGAAGGTGCAGAGCAAGACCCCTCCACACACCATGTACAACGTTAAAAGAGTACAGGGCAGTGCTCATGCCAGTGGGCCACTTGCCGCTTGCACACTGCCTACGGTTCACTGTGGCTAACACCATCTCCCCAAAGTGTTTCACGTGCCAACAGCTTTAATTCTCTGATTTCTCATGGGTATCTATATATAGGTAAGACGCTCTGGTTCATTCTGTGGAGCTAAAAGAACATGGATTAGCAAGAGTGAAGAGAACTGCATGAAATGCCTGGTCCTCTGTAATGATGACCATTTTGCCTTCTCTCCCTCTTAGCAGGAGGAGATATCTTTTCTGCCTCTAGAGGGGCTTTAGAACAGAGGGAGAATCTGCAGAGCTGGGATTTCACTAAGCAACCAAAGGGCGTTACACTAAGTTCCACACCACTGCATGTATTTTAAAACCATTTGCTAGAATACCTCCACGTCAATGATGTCATCCAACGACCCCAACAAAAGAACTATTTCAATGTCTTGAACTTTGCAGTTAAGCAGCATGTTATGCTTCTCTAACCGTTTCTGTTCCAGAGACGTTTGAATGACTACAGCCTTTCTTTGCAATTTCCCCACTTCCCTGTAAATACACAGATATGAAAAAATGGTTATATTTTACTCATTATGTAACGTTGTACAAAGGAAGAAAAATGTATGTGCTATAAATTTACATAAATATTTTTTCCTATGAGTACTATAAATTCTAGAGATATCTCATTGATGCTTGTAATTTAAACTTTAACATTCCCGACAAAGGCCATGACTGTAATTAGTTAATTCGAGGGAGTGTTTTTCAGTAATAAACATTATTATTTTAATCAGGCTACCAATAGTACAGTGCTTTCTAGTTACTTTATCTTTAAATCTGTACAATTTTTCAAGTTGCATTTCTCCCTCAATGTAAGCTCTACATTTTAGAACCTCAAACCAAGAGCAACAGTTTCTCAGCAAGAGAAATACCTTACCAATTAAGTCATTACACACCTAATAAGCCAAAGTGTTTCTTACTAACACTACCACTAACGCAATGCCTTCTACATTAAATGAGGGCTTGTGGGTTCTATCAGTTGAAACAATGTGGGATTTTAAAAAGGACCTAAAAACAGGATCAAAAAATAAAATAAAATAAATTAAGAATTATATGGTTTTCAAGACTATGAAGATAAAGAGAGATGTGGTTCTGTTTAAACTAAATGCAAGACCAAACAACAACAACAACAAATCTTAGCCAAAGAACTTTCTGGCTGTATCTTGAAACACTGAAGGTCTTTGAACAGTGAGGAAAATTATAAAATGTCAAAAGGTTGAGCAAAAACAGAGTGCTCATTTCATCTGCTCACTTATGGTCGTGTCTATCACACAGGAAAGCGGATGACATTGTGGTGCAACAAGCCAGCTGATTCAAAATGCTATTGTCATCATCGCAAACACACATGCTCATCATGTGCCAGGTATATGTGCCACATGAACAGCCACTCATTTAACCCTTACCACTATTCTATGAGGTAGGCCCTATTATTATCTCTATTTTCCAGATGAGGAAATGAAGGCATAGTATGCAAGTGGCAGAGCTGAGACATGGAACCATGCAGTCTGGCTCCAGATTCTATACCTCACCTGCTATGCTTTGTCACACAGACTAGAGGGAGACTCTGTACAACAGGAAGATACCAGAATCCAGGGGATTTAGGGCAAGGGACCCTTTATACAGGTCCATGTTTTCATCTGCCAAAAAGAACTATTCACTGTAAGTAACTAACCACCTCTCTTGGTTTTCTCCCAAAGTAGAATGCTTGAAAGGTGTGATGTGGGACCAAAAGCAACAAAGGTACATATTCAAATAACAAAACTTCCTATAATAAATTTTGAATTGATGGTAAACATCTTTAAAACTCTATTATGGTCTTTCAAACTTATAAACTTCTTAATTACCTATCAACAGCCAAAAACTTCTTCCGATCCTCTTCAAGTTGAGCTTGGATTTTCTCAATGTTGGAATTCTGAGTGACAAACACGTCCTTAAGTTGCTGCCGCTTCGCCATGAGTTCATCTACAATGTGCAGACAATCTTCCTCAGCCTGAATGGAGGTGATTTGCACTGTGCATTACCATCTTTTACACTAATAATGTCAACAGATCATCTTATCAATAAGCCAAACTAGTCATTCCGAGATAAACCCTTATCCTGTGTGTTGCTTGAACCTCTCTCATAGAAGGTGACCCACTATTGTTCTACATTTTTTGGAAATTGGTAATTGCTACCTGCCTTCCTCCTTCACTTTGGATTCATTCCTCAGCTTGCTGCCATCTGAGTTCTGTTCCCATTGTCCAATGAAAATGTTTGCTACTGTCACCTCTTAGTTGGCAATTAAACACATTTTCCAGGCTTTACCTTTTTGACAACTTTCCTCACTTCCTCCTTCCTGAAACTCTGGGCTTCTATGCTATCACCCTTTCTGGTTCTCTTTATCACCTAGGTGACCACTCCTTCCAGAATTCCATTCTTGCTCCACTGCTCTTCACTGCCTACCTCTCTGCTTGGGAGTCTCAACTTTTCAGATATGTTTCCATTTACTCCCATAAACCAGCCTAGACTTCTCTCACCTACCTAATCTTTAACTAGCTGCTGGAAATTGCTATCTAGATGGCACATAGGCAACTCAAGCTCCACAGATTCAAAATTTTCTCTCCTTAACCTGTTCCTCCTCTCCACCAATTGCCTAAGTTAGAACTCAGGAGGCATCCGTGACACCCCCCTTTGCCCTCTCCCTACAGCTTTGACAGCTAATGATTCACGAAGCTGTGCTGACTTTACTTCAAGGACTCCTCAGACCTGCTCCCCGCCCTTCTATCCTATGAGGACACCTCAGGAGCTCAACCAATGTTTATCAATGAAGGACGTCATCATTTCAATGACACTTCAGCCACCCATCGTTTTTTTTTGACATTATAAATGAAAGGCTTTATTTATACATCAAAATTGGGATTGGAGAGGTAGTGACAATTAAGAACTAAGAGTAAAGGAGGAACTTCCGGTGTTAGGTCGGATGGAGAAGAAAGTAAATGAAAATTCTTTTACTGCATGACTTAAAATTCAGCCGCCCAGTATTAACTACCTTCTTTAGGTTATCAATGTCTTCTCCACCTTTCTGGATAGTTTCTTTTAATGTGTTGATCTTATTCAGTTTCTTCTTCAGCTGATTGCGACTATATTCGAGTTGGACATTAAGCCGAGTTTTTTGTTTCTCAAATTCTAATCTAGTATCATAAAGTAGAAGGAAGGAAATAATAAAGTTAATACTGAATATTAATATTGAATATTCTTCTTGTTTCTGACTTCACTAGTAACACTTCTAGTGTTACTCCCTGAAAACACGATGCTGGTTTAGAATTAAACGTATTTTCTCATATCACAGGTATCTAACTACTCACATTTTAAGAATTTTTAATCAAGAATGGATGCTGTCTTTTGTTCAGTGCCTTTTTCATCAACTACAGAGTTGATCATGTGATTTTTCTCCTTTACCATTAATATGACAAATTATAGCAATAACTCCTGATATTGAAGCAGCCTTTTATTTCTGGTATGGAGTCTACTATATAATGGTATTTTTACCCCTACTCTGGCGAATTCTTTTTTTTAAATTTTATTTTTTTAACTTTTTTTCTAATTTAAATTTTAATTTTTATAGCAGTAACATTGGATTATAGCATTATATAACTTTCAGATGTACATAATATATTTTGAATTCTGTGTAGATTACATCATGCTCACCATCCAAAGACTAATTATAATCCATCACCACACATGTGTGCCTAATACCCCTTTTGCCCTCCTCCCTCCCTACATAATGGTATTTTGTTTTTCTCTTGTTACATTGCTTGTTTCTATTTAACCTTATTTTATTTGGTGATTTACAGGTGAAACTGACCGATAGTTTCTTATTGTATGTGTATGTCCCTTTTTGGATCTGGGCATCAATATTACGTTCATTTCATAAAAACATGTGTTTCTTCTTCTTCTACACTATGAAGCAGTTTAAATGTTGAACATTTGTTTAAACATTGAAGTTACATGCGCCTTTAAAGTCTGCTGGGATGATTCATGTGTGAAACCAGACATGCCTCGTGAATTTGGGGGAGTGAGTAAAAGCTTTTTTACTTTCCTTTCCTGTGGTAAGTGGCCTTCTCAGATTTTTCTATCTTGCTTGGGGTATATTATTTGCTTGGTAATATATTATTTCTTGAAAATTATGAATTTTATCCACATATATTGACATATACATAGCCCTAAGTAAATTAGTCTTATTACTCTTTTAATAACCACTGTGAGTGTAATTATGTCCCCATTCTCTTATCTTGTCTATTTATGCTTTCTCTCTTTAAAAAATTATGGAATAAAATAATTAGATCTCTTTATAAGACTATGAATGTTTACTAGCTATTTACCTCAGGCAGAATTAATTTAATTATGAAATAATAGTTACATTTATTTATGTTTTTAAGTTGCTTACCAACATCTTTTAGTAAAAATACCTTTTTTGATCAATTTCTTGTTGCTGTTTAACATGTTTGTTCTCAAATTCACGAATATTTTCCACACCAATTTCTTCACAGAAGTGTTGGAAAATATCATCTTCAACCTTTTAAATTATTTCAATACAATTGGTTTAATACTTAATTTTAAGAAACTATATAGACAATGCTTAAATTTAAGTTTTTCCCTCCAAGTTATTCCCGGATTAGGCCCAAAACTAATCCCAACAAGCATCATTGTACTCTGAGGAGTCAGTGCTTTCTCTTTCTTTAACTCCATAAACTATGTTCATCTATTTTCAAATTTCTTATCCTAAAAACTAAATAAGAAAGCTCATAACTGGCCTTAAGTGTCCTGGCTCTATGAAGTATTTAATATAAAACTGGAAGTATTTCATTTACATTAGCCACACCAAAATATAACATTCTATATAAGTAAATAAAATATTCTTTCCATATGAGTAATACTATACAGTCTTAAGCAGTATAAAACCAAGAGGACTAGAGCATAGACTTAAGGCTCAAAGAGATTTGGAAAAACTAGAATGAGTCAAATCCAACAAAATAACATTTAACTTCCATATTTTTAAAGCCTTGCATTTAGGTACAATTATAGGATAAGAGACTGCTTTTAACAACAGGACATGTTATAAACTTTCAGGTTTCAGTTGAATATAAATTGAATATGAATATGAATACGATTGATACAATAGTAAGCCACGATTTCCTTAAGTAGATAATCCAAACCATGGAAAGTTATAGTTCTATGTGTAGAGTCCACAGTACTCTGTACTGATCAGACAGTATTTTGACATTATGCTTTGTTCTGGGCGTTGACAAACAACAGAGCACCCAGAGGATGTTACCAGAACTGGTCTTAAATCCATGGTAAATGTAAATAACTAAGGAATTAGGGGTATTTAACCTGGAAAAGAGATAATTAAGGTGCAGCATAAGTGTGGTTTCAAATCATGCGATAAAAGGCAAAACTTAAAGAAACGGTGGCAGTTATTGAGTGATGGCATGACAAACAACTTTCTAAGGATTAGATATAAGCCACAGTGGAATGAATTAAAACAGAAAGTTCCTATCATTTTGTAAGCAGAGGTTAGATGACCAAATCTTTGCTGCCCCAGAACCAAGTACTGTGCCTAGAATATGCATTAAATATTCAAGAAATAATTACTGAGTGAATAAGTAACCTTAAAAGATAACATGAATGACAAAATTCCTTCCTTCCTGGTGTTAAGGGCAGAAAAAGAAAGAAAGAGGCTGTAACTTCTACAATGGGCAGGAGAGGCTGGAGAGCAGAAGAGAGTAACTAAGCACTGGTCATTGTCTCTTGAGATGCGCAACAGTGGCTCTCAAAAGATACAGGAAATTAACTTGGCAAACCAGTAAAACATAGCACTTATCAAATTTTGATTTAATATATATTTAAGAAGCCCTAAATCTAGTGTATTGTCTAGAACTATACTCTATGTGCCATTTAGTAAAAAATACATCATTCGTAACCTTATCTATCTTTTTTTGAAATGCTTCCATTCTTTGTCGTCGTTCTTTGATTCCTTCACTCAACATAGCACATTGAGACTCAATATTTAGTAGTTCACTTTGTAGCTGAGATTGTTCCTAATTACAAAAGAGAAAAAACGCCTTTTTAACATCGCTATTTTAGCTTTACATAGTGAAGCCAAAAACGTGATAGGTGTCTTTTAGAAAAAAAAGGAATCCATGAGATAAGGCAAATTCAGGTACAATTGGATAACAAAATTAACAACCATAAAAATAAACTATAATATACCCTATAGTAACCATAATATAATCTCAATCACGGGTAAAAGTGTAAAAATTACATGATGCTATATAAAAGTAATTTCTGAAATTCTATGTCCTGGTTCTAATTTCCATCAAATTTTATCTAAGTCCATAGTACCCGGTGAAAAGCAGCAAGCTGCTTCTTTTTAATCATCTCCAGTTCACTTTGCGAATATTTGAGTCGTGTATGAGTTCCTTGTGCTAGAGTGCGTATTTGTTTCAAATCTGCTTCCTTGCGAAGTGTCTTCATTAAATCCTAGAAAGGAAGAGAAAATATAATAACATTTTACAGTAGAAAAATACTTTCACTTTTCAAAGTGCTTTCATGCGTCATAATTCACTGATTTTTACATCTAACCACACCCACACTCCATCTTCCCTTCTTCTGGTAAAAGACTGGGCAATTAAGTACACAAGCCATCTAGAGGAACCAAGATGCTATACAGCATCCTCAAAAAACTAACACACTTCCTAACAGGAAACAGACATGAAAAATGAGGAATGGGGGGTGCGTGTTCCACCTATGGCTCATAAACGGCACAAAAGGGATCATATGACACATGCTGCCTTTCTTTTAGTCATTCTTGTCTCGTCCATCCCTTCTCCCTTCACCTCCCTATTATTCAACCAAATTAACTCCCTAGTATATGTCCTTCTGTTTTTTACTCCAAGTCCTTATACGAATACACATGTATACATATTCACCTATATATGTTGGTTTTTTCAGTCTCATTTTGCAAATTTAGAACCATATTGAACATGCTTTTCTGTCTCCTGCTTTTCTCATTCAGTTACTCTCAAGAGTCAGCTGATAAAGCTCCAAATTCATTCTTTAATGGCTGCATATTATTCCAGTGTGTGGCTGTACCAAAATTATTCAACTGTTCTCCTAATGGTGGGCATTCACCTTGTTTCCTAGTTTTTGTCACCACAAACAATGCTGCATGACCTACTTGTATGTAAACCCTTGAGTATTGGTGTTTTTATTTCCACGCAATAAATTCCCTAGGGTGAGATGGATGGGTCAAAGGTATTCACATTTTTATTTTACTAGCTGGTACGAATAGCTTTCCCAAAGGCTGTAACAATTCACATTTCTATAATTAATGTACAAGTATGTGTTTCTTTCTCTCTCCACTAGCATATATATATATTTTTTCCAAGTCTTGTTGGTATATATGAAGTAATCAATTTAATTTGTATGCCCCTGAGTACTAGATCCTATATAGGGCATTTTTTCATGTTTATTAGCCACATAGATTTCTTCTTTCTGAGAAGTGCCTAATCCTATCCTTTCTCCAGAAGTGTCTCTCATAATGTCTTTTTCATGTCAATTTGTAAAGAGTTCTTCGATAGTAAAGAACCTAGTCTTCATTTTAAACTTTTTTTTAATGTATACAATGGTTTTTATTCTCATTTAAAAATTTTTTTACATTCAAGTTTTTAATCTATCTGGAATTTATCTTTATATGTTATAATATGGGGCACAAAATTACTTTCTCTAGATGTGGCAATACCATTTGCTAAATAATAAATCCTTTTCCCACTGAACTAAAACATTATCTTTGTTGTATACTAAATGGTCAAATATACTGAGCTTTATTTCTGGAATTCCTATTCTGTTTCATTAATCCGTCCATTCCTATGCCAACACTACATCAAGTTGATTACAATGGCTTTTCACAGTATTCTGTATGCTGGTAAGAGAAGTTCCACCTCATTCTCTTTTGCCATGTATTTTTTGAGTAGTCTCAGGAAAATCTTCATTTGTAGGAATTACAAGATCATTTTATCAAATTTAAAAATCCTTGGTAACATTTTAAACTTGCATTCAAGTTAAATATTAATTGGAGGAATTATAACCCAAGAATATAGTATTTTTCCTTTGTTTTGTGTCCTTCAAGAAGATTTAGTTTTCTAAAAATAGTTACTGTGCCTTTATATTGACATTTATTCCTATTGTCAGCAGAATATTTTTCCATTTTTGATGCTTTTTCTTAATATAGAGAAAAATATAGTTTTGTTTATTTACATAGCACTCCCACTATCTTATTAAATCTAGTTTTTAAACTATAATCTTATTTTCAGCAAAAAGTTAGTTTTTCTCATCTCTTCAAAGATTTATACAAACTATTTCATTTTGGCCTAACTGTATTTACTTTTTCTTCCAAGACCACATTAAATAATAATGATAGGGCAGATATCTGTCTACTTCCTGATTTTAACTAAAATGGTTTTAATGTTTCACATTTAAGCAATTATTTGTTAGTTTTGGATAAGAACTATTTATTTTATTTAAATAATTTCCACCAATCACTCTTTTACTTGGTACTTTAATTATGACTAGCTGCTGAACTTTATCAAATGCCTTTCTACGTATGACCACATGATTTTTTCTCTTGCCTTTAATTTGGTAATGTAATGGATTATGTTGATTGATCACTTAATATTGAAACACCGCATATTCTTGGTACAAATCCTATTCAGTCTGATGTATTTTTCTTTCACTACCTTGCTGAATTCTCTATACTGATATTTAATTTAGAAATTATGCATTTATATTCACAAGAGAATTCAGTCTTTGGTTTTATTTTTTGTAGTATCTTTATAATATTTGATACTAAATTTATACTAACTTTATAAAATAAACTGGGAAGTTTCCATCTTTTTCCATGATCTAGAATGGCTTAAATAACATTAGAATTATATTATATAGAACTCAGCTGTAAACCCATCTGGTCCCAGGGACTTTTTAAAGAAAACTGTGGTAAAATATACATACAATTTACTATCTTTACTGTTTTTAAGTGTACAGTTCAATGGTGTTTAAGTACATTCACATTGTTGTGCAACCAATCTCCAGAATTGTTTTCATCTTGCAAAACTGAAACTCGCTACCCATTAAACAACTCTCCCTTCTCCTATCCTTCCCAGTCCCTGGCGACCACCATTCTACTTTCTGCCTCTATGAATCTGACTATGTAAGGACCCCATATAAGTAAAACCATACAGTATTTGCCTTTTTATGACTGACATTTCATGTAGCATAATGTCTGTAAGGTTCATCCATTTTGTAGCACGTGTTTGAATTTCCTCTCTTTTTAAGGTTGAATAATATTCCAGTGTATGTATAGATATTTTGATTATCCATTCATCCGTTGATGGACACCTGGGTTGCTTCTACTTTTTGGCTATTGTGAATAGCGCTGTTACGAACATGGGTGTACAAGTATCTCTTCTAGACCCTGCTTTCAATTCCTTGGAGTATAGACCCAGAAGTGGAATTGCTGGATCATATGGTAATCTTATTTTTAATTTTTTGAGAACCATATTGTTTTCCATAGCTGCCATACTGTTTTACATTCCTGAAGTCTTTTTTGAATGATAGATCACTCGATTAATGGTGGCTTAAAAAACTGTGGGTTTATTTTCCTTCACAAAAGCAGCCTGGGGTGACGCGGTCCCTCAACAAAGGCACCTAACTTTCAGCTTCTCAGCGCAGTGGTTTTATACTCATGCTCCCTGTCTCTTGGTCTAAGATTGCTGCCGCATCTCCAGGCCTCTTGACTGCACTCCAGTCCGGAAGAAGAAAACACAAAAGATAATACCAACACTTCCATTTATATCTCTAAAACTGTCACAAAGCCACCACTAGCTACAAGGAAACTTGAGAAATCAAGTTGTTTTAGTTTTTTACAATACTATAAAAAAGGCAACCAAGGAAGGGGTTGTGGATGGGGACTGGGCCACCGACTACACTGCTGCCTCACTTTTCAAATGTCCCATGTTTTTTCTGGTCAATCTTGGTAATTTGTTTTCTGAAAATCATCCATTTCTTCCAGATTTTCAATTTTTTTTCACTATATAGTTATTTGCATGTAAGAGTCTGTTAAACTTATTTTAATTTTCTCATTCCTGATCTGTTTGTCTGCTTCTAAGTTTTCTTTCCTTCATTAGAGTTGCATAGAGTTTATTTTATTAGTCTTTCAAAAGAACCAGTTTTTAGATTCATTTGTCCCTTTTCTATTTTGAGTTGTTTTCTATTTAATTAATTTCAGCTTAGAAAAAAATTCCCCTATAGTTTTTGTTATTTTGTGGTTGTTCTAGTTTCTTAAGGAAATAAATTCCCTTATATTTCATCTTTCTTCAATAATGAAGGTATTTTCCTCTTGATGTAGCTTTTACTGTGTCTCAAAGACTTCCTATTCATCACTTTTGAGACATTTTGTAATTGGCCTCTTGATTACTTCTCTGGTCCCCAAACTATCTACTAGTACATTTCTTAATTTCTATGTAGACAAAGATTTTTTTGATCACTAGTTCTAATTTCACTATGATCATTATGATCAAGGTAACCGATAAAAATCTTTACTTTTGAAAAACTGTTGAGGTTTCCATTGTGGACAAGCATATGACCAGTTTTTATAAGTGTTTTATGGATATGTTAAATAATGTCTTACATTTATTGAGCACTTATTGTTCTACAAAGTTTACATTTACTAACATACTTAGTCCTCTTAACAACGCTAGGAAATAGGTGCTGTTATTATCCCCATTCTATTGATGAGAAAACTAAAGCATAAAAGTATTTAAGTAACTTAGAGTCACGCTAATATGTGGTAGAGACACAATCTGGATTTAAGTTTATTGATTGTGTTACAAATTCCTCTAAGTTTTATCATTTTTGTCTACTAGACCTGTCCAATTTTGAAAGAGGTATAGTGAAAGGTTCTATTCTAATTTCACCTTTATTAAATATTCTTGTTTTAAATATTTGGGTTCTGGGCAAGCCCCAGTGGCCGAGTGGTTAAGTTCGGTACACTCTGCTTTGGCAGCCTGGGTTTTGTTCCTGGGTTCGGGCCTACACCACTCTGTTAGCAGCCATGCTGTGCTGGTGGCCCACATAGTAAATATTAGAGGAAGATTGGCTCAGGGCGAATATTCCTCAGCAAAAAAAAAAAAAAAAAATTAGGTGCTATGTGCTACAAACAGGCTTAAAATAGAGATCTTGTCTTTACTACATAATGTCCTTCTTTATTCAATTCATTCAATAAATATTTATTGAAAACTTACTATATGTGAGGATTTTTAACTTCAAAGTTCATATTGTCTGATACTGTCACTCCTGATTTCTTTTTTATTTGCATTTTTTAGGTGTTCATCCCATTATTTCCAACATTCAATTTTAAGACAATTTCTTGCAAACAACATTTAGCTGAGTTTTGCTTTTTAACTCATGAATGTCTTGGTCTTTTAAAGGGAAACTTAAATCCACACATGTTTACCGTAATCACCGATATACAAATATTTTTTTTCCTCTTACTTTTAAAAAATTATTTTCATGCATTATTTTTGTTGGTTTGTTATTTGTTCCTAATTTAATGTACTTTTAACACTCTAGTCCTACCCACGTCTCCCCACCCACCAAGATACAATCTTTAGAATATTATTATTTCCTCACCTCCTCACAGATGAAACCTTTGAAAAGCACTTACTTCTCTCTCCATCTCCAATTCCTAGGTTTTGCTGTGTTAGTTTAGCCCTATTAATTTATTATATTACATCTGTTCTAATTCATGTGTTGCTTACGGTACTTTCTCTAGTATTTTGTCACACGAAGTATGTGGAGACATAGTCTCTGAATTTACTTATCTGCAGATACCTGAGAGGCAAATGATATCCTCAGCTGTAGTCCTTTCCCCTCAGTTGTCTGCAGCTATTATTCCACAGTCTCACCCAGTTTTGTAGTTTGATACAAGCTAGATTTTTTTTTAATCTCTAAGGAATATTTTTTAAAGCAGAAAGGGTATTTTAGGACTGCTTCTATATAACCTAGGACTTCAGGAATTACACCAAAATCTGTGTTATCGTGTGCCTTTTCTCATCAAACCTACATGGAACTGCATGTGTCCTTTCAGGTGGGTCCTCAGATTAAAGACATTTAATCTTCTTCCACGTGCTTCTTCCACTTGGCCTTCCAGGCTATTAATTTGGTTCTCAACAATGGCACGCCTATCCTTCAATTCATCTACTGCATTCTATAGTTTAGAAATACGTTTTTTTAGCTCCAGAAAGTCTTTTTTTGCAGGGGTACAGGGCGTATTTTGACACTACACTGAATTTCATTAACGCTCTTTTATTTGTTTTGTTCACGTTGTTGCCAAGCTCCCAGAACACCTCACCTGAATTTATGTACTTCTTTGCCCACTGTGGATCGGGTCTGGGTATTAAAGTGTCCTAAATGGCAGCTGTTTCACAAGCATTCTCTATACCCAAGGGCCAGTGAATACAACAGAAGACTGTCAGTGTTCCACTCTGAGACAGGAAAAGATGTCTGTCTGGTCTCCCTGGACTCAACCAAACTCAGGAATAGGGAGGCCACAACCTACTAATATGTAGCTTCATAAGGTATCTGTTAAAGCTGATGTTTCAAGTAAGTGTGTGTGGAAGATTATCATATTCCACAAATGACACTTGGATAAAACAGCAAGTCTGTTGGTAAAAATAAAGCTGCAGGCCCAGTCATCAACATAAATTCCAGATGACTAAAAAATATAAATGTTGAATACACAAAAGCACTAGAAGGAAGCATTACTGAATTTCTTTTGTGATCTTCAAAAAGAAAAAGGTCTTCTTTTCGGACACCATGTCTTCTCAGAGAAGGGAAACAATAGAAAGAATAAACAAATGGGACTTCATCAGACTAAAGAGCTTCTTCAAGGCAAATGAAAACAGGATTGAAACAAAAAAACAATCCACTAACTGGGAAAAAATATTTGCAAGTCATATATCTGACAAAGGCTTAACATCCATAACATATAAGGAACTCTCACAACTCAACAACAAAAAATCAAACAACCCGATCAAAAAATGGGCTGGAGACATGAACAGACATTTCTCCAAAGTGGATATATGGATGGCTAATAGGCACATGAAAAGATGCTCATCATCGCTGATCATCAAGGAAATGCAAATCAAAACTACACTGAGATATCACCTTACACCCATTAGAATGACAAAAATATCTAAATCTAATAGTAACAAATGTTGGAGAGGTTGTGGAGAGAATGGAACCCTCATACGCTGCTGGTGGGAATGAAAACTAGTGCAGCCACTATGGAAAACAGTATGGAGATTCCTCAAAAAATTAAAAATAGAACTACCATATGATCCAGCCATTCCACTATGGGTATCTATCCAAGGAGCTTGAAGTCAGCAATTCCAAAAGTCCTATGCACCCCAATGTTCATTGCAGCATTATTTACAGTAGCCAAGACATGGAAGCAACCTAAGTGCCCATCAACAGATGAATGGATAAAGAAGTTGTGGTATATATATACAACGGAATACTACTCAGCTGCAAAACAGAACAAAATCATCCCACTTGCAACAACATGGATGGAGCTTGAGGGAATTATGTTAAGTGAAATAAGCCAGTTAGAGAAGGATAATCTCTGTATGACTCCACTCATATGAGGAATTTAAAAATGTGGACAAAGAGAACAGATTAGTGGCTACCAGGGGAAAGGTGGGGCGGGGGGGGGGGCACAAAGGATGAAATGGTGCACCTACAACACGAATGACAAACATTAATGTACAACTGAAATCACACAAGACTGTAACCTATCATTAACTCAATATAAAAAAAAGAAAAAGAAAAAGGTCTTTCTGAGTATGACATTAAAATCCAAAAGTTATAAAAGATTAAGAAATTTGGCTACATAAAGATTAAAAATGCATGTGTGACCAAAAAAAAGCAAAGTCAAATGTCAAACAGATAATGAGCAATAAAAAAGAATAAACTTTTGATACACACAACAACATGAATCTCAAAAGCATTACGCTAAATGAAGAAAGCATGACACACAGGCTAACTGTATGATTCTATTTCTAGAAGAGGAAAAACAATAATGACACAAAGCATTTTGGGTTGCCAGGGCCCAGAGGAGGGGACTGACTACAAAGGAGCACACAGGCATTTTGGGGGGTTATGAAAATGTTCTATATCATGATTGTGGTGGTGGTTACACAGCTATATTCATTTGTCAAAACTTACTGAACCATACACTTCAAATTGGAGACTGTTACTGTATATAAACTATACTTCAATACAGCTGACAAAAAAGTGAAACAATATATTTTACTAGTATATGACTAAGGACTAATTTACTTATTATACAAATAATTCTTAAAGTAGGTAATAAAATAATCTAAAAGAAAAATGTACACACGAAATAAATAAGCAGTTCAAAGAAGAAAAAAAATTATGAAGAACCAATAAATACATGAGGAAATGCTCAACCTCAGTTACAATTTAAGAAAGCACATTCAACAATTGGGTTACATTGTTTTTACCAATCAGATTGGCAAAGATTAAGACATTTGCTCTAACTAGTGGTGCAATCTAGGGACATAAACACCCTACTACAAGTTTTCTTTTGACGTAAATTTAGCAATATCTATCAACATTTTAAATACACATATCCTTAGACCCAGAAATTATACATATAGGAATTCATCTTAGAGATATAGCTATACAAGTAAAGATATAATAATAATAAACATTTATATAGTGCTTACATACGCCAGGCATTGTTTTAAGTATTTTATCTGGATTATCTGATTTAATCCTTCAAATAACCCTAGAGGAAGGACTTTTATTATCCCCATTTTACAGATGGGGAAAGTAAGGTACTAAGGGGTTAGGTAACTTGCCTAAGGTCATACTGCTGGTAAGTGGCAGAGCCAGGATTCAAACTTAGGCATTGTGGCTACAGAATTTATACTCTTAGGTACTATGTTACTCTCCCTCTTTAAAGAATGTTTAGTGCTGCATCATTTGTAACAGCAAAAACCAAAATGTCCATTATTGGAGACTAGTTAAATAAACAAAACCTATACAGGGAAATACCAGGAAGGATTCATTAAAAATAAAGTGGTTCTCGGGGCTGGCCCCGTGGCCGAGTGGTTAAGTTCGCGCGCTCCGCTGCAGGCGGCCCAGTGTTTCGTTGGTTCGAGTCCTGGGCGCGGACATGGCACTGCTCGTCAGACCACGCTGAGGCAGCGTCCCACGTGCCACAACTAGAAGAACCCACAACGAGAAATATACAACTATGTACTGGGGGGCTTTGGGGAGAAAAAGGAAAAAATAAAATCTTTAAAAAAAAAAAAAAAAAAAAAAAAAAATAAAGTGGTTCTCTATATGCTAAAATGAAAACATGTCCCTGTTATGATATTAAATGAAAAAGCTTGCTGCAAACATTATTTAGCAAAAGTCTATTATAAAACAAATAGAAAAAATAATACATATACTTGTATATACAGAGCAAATTTCTGGAGGCTATGCATCAAACTGTGTTTAGCAAATACACACCAAGATGTAAACATGGGTAAGGGGAAGATTTTTACTTTTCACTGTATTCCATTCTGCTTTATTTGTATTTTTTAAAACTACAGGCATGGTACTTTTATTAACCAAAAAAGTTAGTTTGAAAACACAGTTATTCTACTTAGTATTCTATAACTTTCACAACATGGATTTACCTTTAATTCTTGGACTAACTGGGTTCTTCTGTCTCTTAAATTCTTTAACTCTTTCTCATCCCAGCATCTAGCCTTGTATTTTAAATCACTCGACCCTCCAGAGATCACTCCAGATTTTAAAAATAAAGTTCCATCAAGGGCTACTGTCTGTAAAATTAAAAATATTTTAGCTTGGATAAACGTACATAAAGAAGATAAAAATAGGACACAATATAGCAACTTTTACAGCTGAGAATTCGTAGATGAGAAAAACCACTTACTGAACTTTACTAATAAAATACCTAGCTTATGAAGGGACACTAGCCAATAAACAAATCTCAAATACAAAAGTTTTGCTAAGGCCCAAAGAAATTCTAGGCAACAAATTAGCAGGAACTAAAAAGCTTCAAATAAATTGTACATTAGTTTCAAACACATTCAATACTGAGAAGCAAAAACCAATAATATTTGTATTTAATAGCTAATAGTTTGCATTATCTAATACTGTATTTTGAAGAATTTGACACCACATGTCAATGGCATATTATAAGACAGCCTTAGTAACTTTAGGATACAAAAATATTACATTCTCCAAAATGGATATGAAACTGGGACCAAGAAAAAATGGAGTCAAAGGCATAAAGTTTATAGTCCTTTGACTATGGACTAAATGAAAACAATTCTCAATTTGTGTGTGTGTGTGTGTGAGTGAGGAAGATTGGCCCTGAGCTAACATCTGTTGCCTATCCTCCTCTTTTTGCTTGAGGAAGATAGCTGTTGAGCTAACATCCATGCCAATCTTCCTCTATTTTATGTGGGATGCCACCACATTGTGGCTTGATGCAGTGCTAGGTCAGTGCCCAGTATGCAAACCTGGGAACCCTGGGCTGATGATGTGGAGAGCGAGAACTTAACCACTACGCCACCAGCTGGCCTGAACAATTGTCAACGTTTTGCAAATGTTTCCAATCAGCCAAAGCAGGAGACTACCTGTGGAGGGCTACAATTATATAATGAGAGTTGATGAAAAAAAAAATGCCAACAAATAGGAGTTTCATTTATTCCTTCATTCAGACCAAGGTTCCCTGCATGTCTGCTGTGCTTGAGACATTCTATACTGGGGACTGGAGTGACCAAAGGGAGTGAAATATGGTACTGACCCTTAGGGAATCATGCTAGTACGGAAAAGAAACAGAAACACATCATTACAACATAAAGTGATGAGAAGACAGAAACATACTGAGAGTAATCTGGAAGCATAAAACAGAGAGGTTCCAACCCAGCCCAAAAGTCCACAGAAGGCTTTCTGAAGAGGTAAAGGCTTTCACAGTATCTTATCAGAGGTACTAGTTAGAATTAGTTAGTTATATTACACAGAAACCTTGGTTTATTTCTCTCTCACAACTACAGAAGTGAGCATTCCAGGATCTGTATGGTGGCTCCACAGTTAACAAAAACCCAGACTCCTTCCATAACATTGCTCCACCATCTTTAGTACTGGGATTAGTCCTCAAGGGAGAAAGTCTTTTTATTTTCTGGAAAGTCTTGGGGCCTCTGTTCTCTCCCAACTGTTAACTTGGCAATGAGTTTGTCCATCAGGTCTGAACTGGCTCTTGGGAAGAACACCAGATCTCTACGGGATACCAACAGCAGTGGCACGGAAACAGGTCTGTGGGTAGGCTCTGGTCTGGAAGGCGGCTTTCCTAACCAGGAAGCCCACTGTTAGATTCTCAGTTTATTCCTTCGACTGCCCCATAAAAATGTAAAGTGGTATGGAGGCAGCTTCCCTCTCCTGGAACACTTATAGCTCATGATATTTTTGTCTGGCCAAAGCATACCTCTATGGAATGAAAGCTGAGGAACCACATAGGCTCCACTGCTTCTCTGCTTTTAAGTTATTCTCAAGAAAGCTTACTTTACATTTACACTGTGTGTCACTAGTGATGTGTGTGTCAGTGTCTCTTATATGACAATCTTCAAAGTCATTCTGTAGTTCAAGATGACTTCTAGAGCTCCAGCCATTGTGTCTGTGTTTCAAGAAAGAAGGAAGGAAGGGAGAAAAAGGGTAAAAGGGGCCAATTAAGTAACTTTCCTGGCAGGCCTACTGATGACTGCTACTTAGATGCAATAGCCCCTCCTGGATAGTTACACAGTAAGATCAAGGTTCTGTTAGTAGGGAAGGAAGGGAGAAGGATATTAAGCAGACAACAGATAGGTAGGAGGGAGCCAGGGAAAGGGCAGTGGTGGAATGCTGGCAGTGGGCATGGATATATAAAATGGATCATTTGCGTGCATGTGTCACAGGGGTGGAATAGGGAAAGAGGGAACATAATAATTTGGAATTCCTAGAAAGAAGCGAGAGTTAAGGACTAACTTTCAGATGAGGCTAGTAGACAGGCCAGATCCTAGAGCTCTTTGTAATGCCATCCATAGGAAGTATGTGGATCAAATGCAACTGACAACTGATGGGGCTTGCAGATGGGCTGGGGGAAGCAGCACTGACGGGTTTGACAGCAAACAGCAGAGAGAAGTGGTTAGATATGAGCTTTAAAATAGACCACTTGCAACTATTTGGCAAAAGGATTGGTCCAAGGGAAGCCAGAGGTGATGGTATGAAATCAGCAATAGAACCTAGGGTGAAGAAAAGGAAGAAGATTTGAGAAATATTCAGGAATTATAATCAGAAAAGCTTAAGGATTAGAGATGTTATGAGGAAATCCTTGAGGAAAACCAGAATTTCATTTGGCTACAATAGTAGTACCAAGAATTGAAGTGAATAATACAGGAGAGAGATCAAGATTTAGAAAGAAGAACATGAATTTAGTTTTAGACGTTGATTTTACAGGGCCTGTGAGCTAATATTTTATTCACTTATTTATAATGTATATCTTGACTATTTCCTAAAAGAAATTAGATTCTTGAGCCAGTCCTGATGGTCTAGCAGTTAAAGTTTACTGCATTCTGCTTTGGTGACCTGGATTTGGTTCCCGGGTGCAGAACCACACCACTCCTCTGTCAGTAGCCATGCTGTGGAGGCCGCTTACATAGAAGAACTAGAAGGACTTACAACTAGAATATACATCTATGTACTGGGGCTTTGGGGAGGGAAAAAAGAAAACGAGGAAGATTGGCAACAGATGTTAGTTCAGGGTGAATGTTTTCCAGCAAAACCAAAAAAAAAATAAGAAAGAAAGAAATTAGATTCTTTTATAGATAATGAAAATCATTAAAATAAAAATAAATATATAATAAGATAGCCACAAATAACTAGAAATAATAAATTACACGAGGTGAAAAAATAAACAATTTAGGCTATTATGAGAAATCACTGAATTCAATTAAATAAGCAGAAAAAGAAAACTATTCAATATATGATACTGGGACAGGTAATTAATCATTTAGGGGGAAAAGCTAATACTTACATCTAACAATATACATCAAAATGAATCATATTAAAATCAAAATATGGAAGTGATACCACTTTTAAAAAATGAAGAAAATTTAAATAAACATGTATTTGATCTCATAGTAAAGACACAATTATACATGTAAAAACAATACCTACAAAGGTTAAAAGTGAAATACCTGATTATCAAATATAATATACATACTATAATACCCATCAGATCTTTCCAGGGAATGGTTGCCAGATTTAGCAAATAAAAATAGAAGAAGTCCAGATAACCTTGAATTTCAGTTAAACAACAACAAATTTTTTAGTGTACATATGTCCAAATATTTTATCTAGCAATCCTATTCTAGGGGACAAGTTAGGGATAGTTTTTGTTTTCCTTTTTGAGCTTCTATTTTCCAAAATTTTCTAAACTGAACATTTAACTTGTATTTCCAATGTATAAAAACCAAACATAATACAAAAGAAAAAAAACCATGGGGGCTGGCTTGGAGAGAGGAGACAGAAGTGTATCAAGAACTTTGAGCTAATTATTTGCCATAACATACATGGACTTATAGTGCCACCTCTGTCTTGCCAGCCATGATACTAGGACAAGTTAACTTACCCTCTTTGAGCAAGGGGTACAAAGTATGATTTTCTTTTCACCTTATTGCTTGGGTTGGCTGCTACTGTTGTTACTGCAACCATTTACTATTGCACATACTGTGCTTGGAATAGTACATACAAGCTATCTGATTCTATGTTCACAACCCTGTGAGGCAGATATTATTTCCATTTTAGAGACTGGGCCTTAAAGATATTATGTATGTTGCCTAAGGCCATACACAGAGACTAAAATCCAAGTTGGTCGAACATCTACGTCCATGTTCTTAACCACTGTATTATATACCTCCTTCAATTCTAAAAATGTAGCAGGCAACAATTTTAAGAATTATGGATCTCAGGTTTTTTCCAATAGCTTATAGGCTTATTAAAACAATTCATTTCTTCTAAAAGTAAATATAGTCTCAAATAACCTATTTCCATTTGATTTACAGTCAAATTTCTGTTCTGGAAGGACTATAATTTTTATTTCCAGCCTGCAATTTCCTTAATTTACAGCTTACATTAGTTGCTCAGTGCAGTAATCCCATGCCTACTTTGGGGGTAACATTCCTGAAAAATACCTTGGCTGAGGAGACTAGGATCTCATATAAAATAAGGAGTTGAAGGAATTTTTAAATAGCATTAAATAAAAGTTCCAGAGTGTATGGTCTAGAAAAAGAATGAATTCTTTGGTGTTAAAAACTTGTCATGTGGGATAACCAACCTTTCCACTGAAACAACTTCAACTGTTTCAAGAAATATTGTTTCAGTGTTATAAGCTGCTAAGGTAGATTCTCTTATAATTTTTGTGTTAGGCAGACTACACATATTGTTTAAGTTGCCTTTCATTGGTATGAAAAATAATATACTTCACCATTTTCTTTTATTTTTGAATGGGTAACATATTCACATTGTTCAAAATCCAAAAGGTACAAAAGAACAAAGAGTGAAAATTTTCCCTGGCACCCCTGGCCCCTACCGCCCAGTTACTTTCTCCAGGGGTAATCAATGTTATCAATTTCTTATGTATCAACAAATACATGCATTCATCTCTTCTTTCTCCACTTTTTACACAAACAGTAACATATTACACAGTAGTCGACATACTACTTTTTTTTTAACTGAATGTATCTTGGAGATTGTCTCATACTTGTACATAAAGAGCTTT